ACCTGTCTGATCTCCTCCACATCGCCACCCCCTCTCGCTCCCTCAGGTTGTCCTCCTCCCTCCATCTCTCTGTGCCCTCCGCCCGGCTCAGCACCATGGGGACCAGAGCTTTCAGTCGCTCTGCTCCCAAACTCTGGAACTCTCTCCCCCCGGACCTCAGAAACATGGACTCTCTACCCCATTTCAAATCACAACTCAAAACACATTGCATATTCCCTTTAACTGCCCACATCCATTTTTACTTTCTGTCACTCTTGTCTGTTGTTTTTATTTATTTTAATTATGACTTTAATTGTGTTTTTAATGCTCTATAAAGTGTCCTTGAGTGTTGAGAAAGGCGCTTTTAAATAAAATGTATTATTATTATTATTATTAAAAGACACATGCTCCACTTCAGGAGGTATTTTTCTGTTTTGTCCTGCAAATTATACGACATCCTTTCATATGCTGGACTTTGCCTAATTCAGTCACCCATTCCTAAAAAGGAGCATCTCTTGGTTTCAGAAGGTCAATGCTGAAAGGGCTGGCTGTTCGCAGTGGTCTCGGTGGTCCAATATCCTCTTTTTAGATGAAAGTAAATTTTGCATTTCCTTTAGAAATTAAGGTTGCTTGAAGCCCAGTGTGAAGTTTCCACAGTCAGTGATGATTTGGAGTCCCATGTCATCCGCTGGTGTTGGACCACTGTGTTTTTTCAAGTCCAAAGTCAATGCAGCTGTCTACCAGGAGATTTTAGAGCACTTGATGCTTCTGTCTGCTAACAAGTTTTACGGCAATGCTAATTTTCTTTTCCAGCGGGACTTGGCACCTGCCCATAGCGCCAAAACCGCTTGTAACTGGTTTGCGGACCATGGTGTTACTGTGCTTGACTGGCCAGCCAACTCGCCTGACCTGAACCCCGTTGGGAATCTATGGGGATTGTCAAGATGAAGATGAGAGACACCACACCCAACAATACACGAGCTGAAGGTCGCCATCAAAGCAACCTGGGCTTCCATAACATCTCAGCAGTGCCACAGGCTCATCGCCTCCATGCCACGCTGCATTGATGCAGTAATTTGTGCAAAAGGAGCCCCGACCATTTAACCTTTAACTTTTGATAGGAAGGTGGTATAGACTAGGACATCCGGAAGTGGGTGAACTCAAATTCGAGGAGTCAGGCCCCACAAATGGGAAGGTATAGTCACAAATAACTTTTGATAGGAAGGTGGTATAGACTCGAAACTAAGCTCTAATCCCCCATTGTCGGCCCTTCCGCATCAATAGAGGTCATCCCCGACCTTCTAGGACATCCGGAAGTGGGTGAACTCAAACTCGAGGAGTCAGGTCCACAAATGATAAGGTATGGTCGCGAATAACTTTTGATAGGAAGGTGGTATAGACTTGAAACTAAGCTCTACTCTCACATTGTCGGCCCTTCCGCATCTATAGAGCTCACCCTCTACCTTCTAGGACGTCAGGAAGTGGGCAAACTCGACATTCGAGGAGTCAGGTCCAGATACGGGAAGGTATGGTCGCGAATGACTTTTGATAGGAAGGTAGTATAGACTTGAAACTAAGCTCTACTCCACCATTTTCGGCCCTTCCGCGTCAATAGAGCCCACCCCCGACCGTTGGGAAGTGGGTGAACTCAAACTTCATTGAGTGCATAAATTAACATACTTTTCAAAAGGTTGACATTTCTGTATTATAAATTCTTTTTATTGGTCTTTTCTCTGGGATTTTCTAGTATTTTGAGATACTGGATTTATATTTTCATGAGCTGTGAGTCATAATCATCAAATTTTAAACACAAAAAACTTAATCTAGAATATATGAAAGTTTCACTTGTTTAATAAAATCATGGGGAAAAATGAACTTTTGCATGATATTCTAAATTTTTGAGATGCACCTGTATATATAAAGCTTGGGCCAGAACCATAGACTGTATTGCCTTTTTATGACACTATGTATCAGTGAATCTTCACCCAGTAATGATTAATCTTTGGGCATGGCCATAGCACCTGTACCAGCGTGCCTTCATCCATACGACACTTCCAACAAGTAGCTGAGTGCTAACCATATTTTTTGTTTCAAAATTATCTTAAGTAACTAAGTTTTCGAAAACAGGTCGTAGTATGATCAAGCTCAAGTGTTAAATAGCAGTAACAGTGGGCTGCCTGACTTTCCACTCCTGTGTAGAGCATAGACTGTATGTAGAGCTGCACTCCCGCACATTTGGGGGCAGTCACGCTCCAACATGTTGTTTGCTAGTCATGAATTAAAACAAGGAAACAGAAGAAGCATCCAGTACCTTTGAATGTTGGATGCCGGGGTGTGTTATGGTTATGACTGTCTGGTCCAGGCGCTATCAAACAGTGCAGTCTACAATCAACACCATCACAATGGACACCGGCCCGGTATCACCAGGTAACGCTGTATCTTGTTGACGTCATTAGCTAGCTTAGTTTAGCTAACGCTAGCTAACTGAGTCGAGCTTACAGAAAGTTTTCAGGCGAAAAGTTAATGTTAACACAACAATGTGTGACTGAAACAATGGCCAAACCAGCACAGAAAACTTTAACATACAAACCGACTTGGTCGTAGTTGTCTCGATATAAACTTAAATGCTCAGACGATGCTAATTAGCGTTAGCTTAACTGTCGCTAACGGTTAACACCACAGGTATAACCACTGACTGACTCACTGTGTTACAGCCGCACTATAGCGCAGTGATTTCACCTGATGACATCTAAATTAAAGCCCCAGCTGGCTCCACTGCCACGGACAGAGATCTTTGCATACTGGGTGCTGTCCTTTGGCTCACACCTGTACTCTTTCTACCACCTGCACAGGTTCTCCAAAGGTAAGATAGACTGTTGTCTCTATGTTGGTTCAATGACTTGATAAAAAAACGGAAAAAAGAATTATGTGTCTGTTATTTTTCCTGTTTTGTTCCCCAGAGCATGAAGCAGGATTACAGAGAGAATTCCAGCTGGAAAAAGGCCTTATTAAAGGTTATAAAAGGGTAAGTTCAATTTTAAATGACTGATTAAAAACCCAACCTGAGCCAAGTCACATTATGGAGCATCTCACCTAAACACAACTTTGCTTTTAAGTCCATAATGTAATAGGGCTGCAAATAGCAAATATTTTATTAATTAATCTGTTTATTATATTATCCATTAATCCATTAGTTGCCTGGTCTATACAAAGAAGAGCCTGATCGATACATCAGTCAGCTGATAAAATTCAGTTCAATGCCTTTATTGTCATTGCACAGCAGTACAATGAAATTGTGTGATCTCTGGGCTATTACACGTAAAAACAGCAAAAGACAATAAACAATAACCAGCAACAGTGATACACATAAAATACACTACAAGTAAAAAAGGAGAATGTATAATGTATAATGATAATAATAATGTAATAAGAGCAGCAGCAGTATAGACTGAATTGCACATCTGGCCCAGCCAAGGAGCAAACACAGTATGCACTATTGTATATTGAATTAATTATCTTAATAGCACTTGGATAAAAACTGTTGAGGTGTCTGGAAGTGCGAGATCTCATAGACCTGTATCGCCTTCCAGAGGGTAGCAGTGTGAAGTGTTGGTGGGAAGAGTCCTGAATTATGTTTGTGACCCTACGGAGACAGCGGCTTTTGTACAATTCCTCAAGTGTGTACCAGTGATGTTCTGGGCTGACTTATGATCATCTGGAGAGCCTTCCTTTCAGCAGTCGTGCAGCTGGAAAACCAAACTAGCATGCCGTATGTCAGGATGCTCTCAATGCAGCAGCGATAGAAGGACACAAGCAGTTCCTGGGACAGTTTGGATTGTTTGATAGCAATTGGATACTGGATGTGATGTCCAGTATGCACTGATATGATTTTTTTTAACAGGACATGATGCAGAAAAAGATGCTTAGGGTAATAAAATCCCCTATTAAGTTGACTATTTTAGTGCACTTATGTCATTTTTGGCTGTAAAGTTTATTGTTAAAATGTAAAATCGCCTGCCTTCATTACATATCTTTGTCACATGCATAGTTTAGCCTTTGGTTCTGGCATCATGTGGATACCACCTGACATGTTCCACCCACTCAAACACCGTTGCAGACCAAGTACCCCGCCTCACAGAGATCCTGTGTCCATGCCTCCAGAGCCAAGTCCGATCCAAGGAGGCCCCACCTTGGATTAGGGGTACATCTGGGGTACCGGCACATCACAAGAATCCTTGAGCAGATTGGGACCTGGGAAATTTAGAAGCCAAGTAGACACCTTGAGCTTTTTGTCATGCTCCACAGGGCATTTCTAAACAGTTTTTGTAGTGTGGCATGCTGCTTTTTTCTGCAATTTATCCTATATAATGGCATATTGGATATCGGCAAAAAATCCAACACTGTGCATCCCTAAAAGATATATATATATATATCTGTGTGTTTGTGACTAAAATGTCAGCCGATATATCAATATTGGAATTTTTACTAGCTAATACGAGTATCAGCATCTGCCCCAAAAATCCAGTATCAGTTGGGCTCTAATAGATAGTCAGAAAAATTGTGAAAAATGTCAATAAGTGTTCCCCAAACCCCCAAAATAATTGCTTTGTCCACAACAAAAAGATATTCAGTCTACTGTCATAGATGAGTAAAGACACCAGAAAATATTCACATTTAAGAAGCTGGAATCAGAGAATTTTTACTTTATTTTTTTTAAAAAAAAGTAAACGATTATGAAAAGAGTTAGTGATAAATTCATTCAATTTCAATTTTCAATTCAATTTTATTAATATATTTTAATAGTTGACAACTGATTAATTGTTGCAGCTCTATAATGTACAGCCCTATTTTAAGATATTCTGTGTCACAGAAAGCTGTGATAAGCATATTTCAGTTCAGTTAGGTTTTTGCAGGACTTTATACATTTGTTTGATACATAAAAATTAAGCTCCTCAACACATTTTGACTATTCAAAGCCTCCATTCATCAGGCTTCAGCTGTGATTTAAAGGCTCATGGTGAAGTTAATTCTTTTTATCAGGACCCATCAGACTTCGAGTGGAGTTTCTGGACCGAATGGGCAAAGAAGTCTTTGCTGTGGACTCTGATTGGTCATGGCGTAATATCAAGACTGACCCGCACCTTTTACCCCGAGGTAGGAAGCAGCTGCTACAGTGCTGGAAGTGGAATGTTGCCATCAAGTGGGAGATGATTTAATCCAACACATTTTTTCATGTTTTCTCTAATAGCTCAGAGTGCCAGCACTCACAATATATGGCCTCTTAGCAGCCAGCAGTGTGCTGGGGATTAAAGGTGTGGGTGTGCTGCTGGTACAGCTGGGCCTGTCGTTTGCAGCAGCACAGCTGCGAAAGCCTGCTCTGTCATGGGCCTGCAACCTGCTGCTGCTCTCCACACTTTACATCCAGCCACTTCAAGAGATCCAGGTGGGTTGTATCACCTGGACTATACTTGTTCCTGATTTTGAAGGATTGGTTTAATCTTGCAATCGAAGCATTGAACAGAGAAGTAAAAGATATGCTTAAAAGTAAAGTGAAAAATGAAATTTAAATGTAATTAAATGTTTTTAAATGGTATTATTAGTCGGATTTTAGTGATTGTTTCACCTCCCGATTGATTACCACCAAATGCAATATTTGCAAAGAACACAAGAGGGTGCAATATACTAAGGGGACGTAAAGGCATTTGTCCACTCAGCTCTGGCACTCTGTATCCATACCAAAGAAAGAACTTGAATGAATATATTGATGGTTATTTCAAGCATTTTCTGAGGATTACCAGATTTAAAAAGCTTGGTGTCTTCGTATAAGCATTTGAAAATTGAGAGGCAGTAGGAGACATGCTAGCAGACAGTCAAACATTTATTGCAGTGAAAATGAAAAAGGATTTTACTAAACTGCCTTTTCTTCACAACACAATAATGAATTTCAGGGACTCAGTTCAACTCATTTCGACATTGATTTGGTTATCATGGACACTGGTGCGTAGTATTTCATCACATTCAGGGTCATCTAACATCCTCCTCTTACATACCTGTGATCTACACACACTCTTTAACTGCACAGTATCAGCCAGGCGAGCGTGCTCCAGTTACAATGGCTGGAAATTTGAATTTAGTGAGTGAAACAGACCTGACAGACCTGTGCACGCTTCCAAAAATCTGACTCTTTCCCTCTATGCTCACACACGCAATTGCACAGTTGAGTTGAGTGTTCAAGCTCAGTTTTGAAAGCAGTGATATTCCCAATGCTGTTTATCAGACCTCATTAAAAGTTGTCTTAAGCACATGTTTATTAGTGTGTGCTGACAGATTCTCACATCCAGTTGTCAAAATATGCTGTAATCTGCTAATGTTCTCATTTTAACGTGTCCTATTTTGAGTGATTTTAAAAAGCGTATCTAAATTTAGTGTCAGACTGTCACTGCTGATGTGAGGATTCCCCAGGAATGTGTTAAAAATAATTGGCCTTGCCTCTGTGTTGCACAGAGAGGCTGGTATAAGACCGAGGAGGAGTACTATCTGCTGCTCTTCAGCGTTGCTGTCTGTGGTCTACGCTTCATCAGCTTCAGCCTGGAGCACTGCTGGTGCCCTGCAGACCGTGGTGGAGTTGTGCAGCTCTGCTGGTTGTTTTCATACACTTTCTATCACCCTTTTTTCTACAATGGACCCATTATCACATACAAAGACTACATTGAGCAGGTAAGAGAGCCGACAGGAGCTACACCTGAATTAAACTGAGATTTGGTCTAAAACTGCCTCTTTTGTCTTTGTCTGGAGGAGGCCGGTCGATGCTCCTGAGTGCAGGCGATCTGAGATCCATTTTTAAAAATATAATAGCTGACACATCAGTGGCAGGTTATGTACAAGAGGATATTGACTTGAATTTTTTATATATGTAAAGAAATAGCTACCACTTATTTGGTCCAATGGCAGACTGTCGATCATTTATTCGATGAACATAAAATTAATCGTCAACTCCTTTGATAATCATAGTCATTTAAGTCATCTTTTAAGCATAAATGCCAAAACAAGTGATATTTCCAGGTTCTCAAATGTGAGGATTTGCTGATTTCCTTTCATGATGTAGGGCTCCTGCAGATCCTTAAAGTCTCAAAATCAATTGAATTAATTAATCTTAAGTAAGGCCTTAATTTTAATTTAAATGTCTTGAATACATCTTCAGAAGGTTTTAAAAATGTTAAGACATGGGAAGTAGGATTTTATCTTTTTTTCTGATGTTGCATTGTAAAATCTCACTCTCAGTGGCAGCACAGTGTTGTAGTGGTTAGCACTGTCTCCTCACAGCAAGAGGGTTCCTGGTTTGATCCCAGGAGAGAGCCCTTCTGTGCAGAGTTTGCATTTTTTCTGGCTTCCTCCCACAGTCCAAAGACATGCAGGTTAACTGGTGACTCGAAATTGTCCGTAGGTGTGAATGTGAGTGTGAATGGTTGTCTGTCTCTATGTGTCAGTCCTGTGATAGTTTGGTGACCTGTCCAGGGTGTACCCTGCCTCTCACCCAGTGTCAGCTGGGATAGGCTCCAGCCCCACCACGACCCTCAAGAGTATAAGCGTTTATAGTTAGTGGAATAAACAACAATTATATTTTGTTTCTGGCCGGCATGCTAACAGCAGAAGATCCATTGTCTGCTAGCTAACTGTCACTGTACTCAAGACGACATGGGGAAGTGCAAATTCAGTGAAAATAGGCTATTAAACCCAAGATTTTTTGGCATGGCTGAAACTCATTCTAGGTTCTGTGTTTTGTATGCAAAAAGTTTTTCAAACTGGGCATGATGGGAATCGAGGCAGTGGAGCCCCACATGCAGAGTGAGAAACACAAAATCACCAAGACAACCCGCCAACAAAAGTTTTGTTCATCCCTCGTCTCTGCAATGTGTTCTACTCTAGAAAGTGTTATATGAACTGTTAAAGCAGATCATACTGTCTCACTTCTTCAGTTTTGGTCATTGTAAAATTGGTCCTAATTTTTATTTCTGGAGGCATAAATAAAAGTCTTAAAAAGTCTCACATGTAACTTTGCCTTAAGCTGTAGGAACCTTGTTTGATATTTTTGGTTTTCGGAAATGTTGGTTGGACAAAACAAACACCTGATGAAGTCACTTTAGGCTCCAGAATACTGTAACAGGCTTTACCCCCTATCTTCATTGAGAAAATGATCAAGGGATTAATCTGTAACAAATACAATCGTTCATCACAGCCCTACTCTACATCATCCTTGTTATGGCTGCTTGTTTTCATACCCGTCTTTGCAGTAGATTTCTAAATATCCACACAGTATGTCTTTACTCTTTTACTGCCATGTTTGTCCTTTTCAGTATGAAGATTCATCCAGCAACCTTTAACAACAAGCTCACCCTCTACACTTTCAGATGCAGAGGCCTGCTGAGGAAGGTGACAGGGACGAATCAGCATTTAGCTTCTTGGTGCTCAGATCAGGACGGATCATACTATGGTGGTGCATTGCCGAATACATGATCCATGTAATGTACATGCACTCCATCCAGTCTAATGAGACCTACTTAGAGATCCTCCCTCCCTGGGCCTTGGGTATGTCTTTATTCTGTATGTATTTTTGGCTGGTTTGTACAGTGTAACATTGAGTTATAGCTTTAATGTTTCCCTGCCTTCAGACACTCTTAAAAACATGTTACCCCCGCAGAGTTTGGTTGGCTCTCAAACTCCATCAGATATGCTGATTACTGTCTTACTCATTGGCCTCGATCCATAATCCAGTCGTCATGATCTGTGGTGTTATTTTCTTTATCTTAAGTGTCAGAATTGGTGTCTGCTAAGTGTCTTTTAAATTTATTTATGTGCTATTACTTGTTTTAAACAAATCAAAGATGTAATCAGTCAGGTTATGTACCCTCTAATAGCCCCTTTGTGTATTGGCAGGACACTTGGAGTACTACATTTTAGCAGATACAAGTAATTTACTCAGGTGGCCACTGTGGTCTAAAAATACTCTGCATGCACATCTCAAGTCAATAATTTTTTTTACATGTAAAGCACCTCTGGGAATGTGGACTTCTAGCACTAATTCATTCACTGTTGTCCTCTCTGGATCCCTTAGTTGCCATAAGTAGGTATAATGAACCGTTAAAGTTTACTGGCCTCCTTTTTGCAATTCTGCTTCACAGTTCTCAGCAGCTCTTTAATGTCAGCAGCAAATGGTGTTTGCCAAGTTCTAACGTCATCTATTGATCCCTCCTCTGTTGCTCCTCCTGAGGTTTCTTCCCTTTTTTCCTCATTAAAACATTTTTTTTGGGTAGTTTTCCCCATTTCCAACAGAGGATCTAAAAATAGACAGTGTTGTTTGCTGCACAGGGTTTAAAGCCCTTTGAGGCAAATTTATGAATTTGGGCTTCATAAACACAATTTACTTGACTTAAAACAGAGGGAAATTGTCTTTGTAAAGTATACAGTTTGTCCTAATTGTTAAATTAAGTGGTAATAGTCCTTCTGCCCTGTCACAGGCGGTCTGGCCCTGGCCCTCGTCCAGTTCTTCTATGTGAAGTATCTGGTGCTGTTTGGACTTCCATCCATGCTGGCTACTTTGGATAAACTAGTTCCCCCAAAGCTTCCTCGTTGTGTCAGCATCATGTACAGTTTCACAGGGATGTGGAGGTACGTAAATACAATATTATATTGGTCTCGTAGCATTCCTTAAAGGGTAACTTAGGTATTTTTCAACCTGGACCCTATTTTCCCTTTTTTGTGATGAATGGGAAGAACAATTTTTGAAACAGGTCCAGTACTGAACGAGAGTGCTGCAGTGAACAGCAGAGAACAGGCTGCAATGTGGGCATTTGTGCACTGTCAGTTTACATCCACTAGTTTTGCCACTGACAGGCTCAGATTGTTATAGAGTGTGCCAGTAAACCCGGAACTCCATTAGCGCTTTTAGCACTTTCGGTTCTCTCTTCTAAAAGTCAATACGTTTTTTGAATGGGATTTCGGTAAAATGCCTCAAATAAGGTCTGTGGTTAACAAAAGCTTAAGTGAGTTTCAGGTTTTGTTCTACGACATAAAACACTTCAGTAAATACCCTACTTGTGAATTTTGAAGCTTTTACGTGTTGTAAAAAAGGCGGTTGCTAACAAGTTGCTCAATACGACTACAAACCCTGTCGGGGACATTAAACGTCATCAACCCCGAACAGACGAGAGAGCTGGCAGTCCGCCATTACAGCTTCTTATTTAGCTTAAACAGTCCGATTTCCCCATTATACAATGTTTTTAAAATAAAGCAGCCAAAATCAGTTGAAAGCTTAGTGGCGGTGGCGTCAAGAGTCATGTGACCATGGAGTAGTCATGTAGTCCGTTAAAGCCTAACGTTAGCTTTTTACTTCTGGTGATCACATTTAAGCTTCAAAGGCGATATGAAAGGTGTTCATGTGTGAAGATTATCTCGCTGAACAAAACCTGTAAGTATCATAAACTTGTGTTAGCCACAGAGCTTATTTTCTGACATAATCCAAAACGCATTGCAAAAATCACATTCACTTTCTCTTCTGGGAACCAGCGCGATGCTAAACTTTCGGGTTTTGACGTCAGCCCTGGGACACTCTATTCTTAGGATGTATTTACACTGGCGATATTTGGTCTACTTTAAACAAACCCTGGTGCTTCCATGGATAGTTCTGTTCGTTTAGAGTGGTATGGACACTCATTCGAACTAGTGAACCCTGGTCCACTTGAAAACTGGTGGTCTCGGTTCACTTCCAACTGAACCCTGGTGCAGTTTGCTTATAGTGGGAAATGTTAACGGACTATCCAGCCAACCAAAGAGAGGAAGTGAACCAAAGAGAGGAAGTGACGTAGAGCGCAGTGCATTTTGGTATTTTTGTGGTGACCAAGCCGGCTGAAGGAGATGGACTTCTGTTTTCGGTCCTGGCCAATCGATGAGCTGGGTTTTCTTCTTCCTCATGATTTTTTTTTTCCTGGTCAGTGGTCGTTTCGGGCAATACCGCCCCCAAACGAGCAGCTGTTGTAATTGCGTGACGTTGTCCAGGCGGTTTGGTCCGCTTTAAAAAGTGCAGTGTGAAAGTGAACCGAACTAAATTAAGGTGTGAAATTTTTCGGCCGAGAACCAAGTCCCCTGGACTATCCTGGTATGAATGCGCCCCAAGTGTCTGACATTATTAAGGATCCCTACTGAGTTAAACCTTTAAAGAGTAAGATCCTTTTTGTTTACCCAGAAACAGCCCCAAAATCATCATCATGAAACCCACCAGACTTTATTTAAATTAAAAGTAATTTTATCATAATAAATCACACTTCCATTAAAAGTCGACAGAAACAAAATAAAACTCAAAAAAGCCGACTTGATTCATCTTACCACTGTTCCAACAATCACTAGCTCTGGTTTGGTTGAAATAAAACCTTAATTCACCTGGTTAGGTGTGAAAACATGCTGGCTTTATACACACTAAAATTACTGTTTATTTACATGGAGTCTGGCGTTTTTGGCGATGGTGATTTCGGGCCTGTTTCTGGTTAAAGAAAATGGTCTTACTCTTTAACAAAAAGATCTATCTCTGTAGGAATCCTTTCAACGAAGTTGTCAGACACTTAGAATATCAATCTGAGCCTGTCAGTGGCAAAAACAAACACCTTTAGTGGACAGAAAATGATGGTGCTCAAATGCCCCAAGTGGTTACATTGCAGCATATTTTGCTGCTTCCACCTGCAGCCCTCTCGTTCAATACTGGAGCTATTTCAAAAAATGTTGTTCCCATTAATCACTTAGACACAAAAGCATTTGAAAATAGGGTCCAGGTTGAAAATGACCAAGGTTATCCTTTAAGTCTGAAGTGACTGGAAAAGCTAGCATCCCTGGTACCCTTGAGAAAAAGGTAAATTTAATGTCAAGTGACTTAAGTGCCCCCTGTGCTTTGACAATACGACTCAGACTGGGAACAGTGAATTGTCCCATTTTCTGTCATTACTGGCAATCAGAACAAGGGATCACCACGGCACCAGCAGGGACATCGTATCATTCTTTCAGACTTGAGCTAAAATTGTTCACTGGGAGCATTTCCTACATTAACAGGCTGCATCTTGTCTTTTTCTTCAAGTTAAAACTGGTTAGTGGCAGTATGGCTAAGACAGTGAGGTCACCAAACAGATTGACCCTTAGGAATGTGTTAGTTTTGAAAGGGATGTGACAAATCAATGCCAGTTGTCTGTATATAACATCGAACAGGTAAAGGTTATTTCAGATAAAGTCAGTGATAGTGTAGTGTAGATTAATCCCAGACATTTAAAGTAAGAGTTAGACGCCAGGCAGGAGCATAATGAGCATAATCCTAAACCTGCCACTTTAAGATTATTGATAGAAAGAAGTTCAAGAGACAACCTGGATGCCATGTTACCTTTGCCACATAAGTGCACAAGATAGAAAGACACAATTAAATCTTTCTGTATTCAAACCACAAAATAACCCAAATAAATTCAGCCCGATCAAATCAAACGGTTATTAATAAACAAAGTGTCTGACTCACAGAATCAAAAGAGACCAAATTCAGTCCTGATGTGAAAATCAAATGTCCCTTAATTAAATAAACTGTCCAAGGAGAAAATGAGCAGGGTAAGGGGCAGTGCAAAAATAGATGCAATTAGACTGAGGATAGAAGGGTGGCTGAGGGCTGCTGCACATTAACCTCAAGCAGGAGGATATGAGAAGCCTGAGGAGTTGCAAGAAAGGAGACTTACCTTCATTTTGGTAGATCCAACAAAGACTTTCATCCACAGCCACATCTGAGCAGGTCGAAAAGATTAAGCCAAACCTTTCGTTACCCAGGAAATTCAGATGTTTTTGGAACAACTGCCACTTCGTTTACTTTTATTTGTCACTGTTTTTGCAAAGATGTCCAGAAACTTGATTAACTTTTAGTTATCTCCTCTTTTAGATGCTTTCACTCCTCTTTCTGTTGTCATCCATACTGCTTTTGTTAGTTGTTTCTCTCCCCCCTACTCACAGGTGTGTCTGATTGATCTCCCCACCTTCCTTTCCTGTAAAGGTTGAAAAGGGATATTCTGTACTTTTTTCCCCCTTTTCTGCTACACACATCAAGCATGAGTTTCTAGACACACACACACACACACACCATGCTGAGTTATTTCCATCCTACCTACCTCCACAAATAGTGCACAAGATAAACGTAATTGTCATGACGACTGCTACATTCTTTAAGTTCAACACTTCTTCAACCAAGCAAAGGAGAAGACGATGCCTGGCTTATGCTGAAGGGGTCACACTTGCTCAAGTGAAATGAGCACACACATTGCAGTGCTTGTTTCATGGGGATAAAGCCCCTTAATCAGCAGGGCTTCAAATATTAAATGGCTAAAGGCAACAGTATTTCCACGACTTGGAAAAAATATTTCAGGGCCTTCAGCTAAATGCAACAGTGAACATTTTGGGTCCAGTGCTTTGTGTTTGTGTTTACCAATTAGCTTTGATGTCCTCCGGGATGCACACCACTTCTGGACAAAGAAAAAGGCTGATAAAGGGCAAAATGTGCTGAAATATTTTCCCAGTTACCAGTTTATTAGGTACACCTAGCCAAAACTAAAGTGGTGCACCAGTCCTAAAATATATTCTTCAATATCCTGTTCAGGTTCTGGTGATTTAAGTGTGTGATTATTTTGGACACAGCAGTTTGGGGCACTATCAAGCTGATTTGCATTATACTAGGTGTTTCTATTATTGTGTCCACTGCTTGTATATCAATAAGACTGGGCTTAAATAACACAAACTACTCTCTGTGTAATGCATTACAGCTCAACAGCATCACAAACTGCATCAAAGTTAATTTATATAGCACTTCACAATATTTTATATGAGGCAATAAAATAATTGAAGAACATTTTAGATCAAATAGAACAAAGATAATAAAGTTGAATTAACACCGTCCAAAATTATAACCTTAATAAAGGTAGGATTTATTACAGGACTGTTGTATCAGGCTGCAGTTTAAATTAGGTGAACCGATTAAACTGATAACAGGGTATATGGACAAGGTTTAGACAGAACAAACATCCTCATACAATAAGAAAACATCACAGTTAAAAAATCAGTGTTTGACAGTGAGTCCAATGTGGTTTCCCTTATGTATATACTGTAAAGTGACCAGGGAGTGTGGAGTTTCATGCCTTGTTCCCACAGCACAGTCACTCTGTTCCTAAATGTAATTAACAACGGGAAAATGCCCTCTTAATTCAGAGCACATAAAGTTGAGATGGAAGGCCGTGTGTTCGGTTTTGCATTGAAAATGCGCTGGCTGTAGACCAGATCGACCAATGTGCTGACACCGATGCACTCCAATCCTGCCTGTGTGTGCTGAGCTGGCCAATGTTGACAACATTGATGGAATGCATAAAGCTGTCCACCGACATCGTCCACAAAACAGCCTCAGTTTATAGGCAGCGCACGGAGAAAAAAAAAGAAAACACGTTTTTCTAATCTTCTTAATGACAAAGAGTGCGCACACAAACACATATTCTTCATACACACTGTATATATGAAGCCCAGTGCTCAGGTGTTTCTTACTCAGTGCTATATTGTTATGTAAATTTGTGACTCAATATTCATTTCTTTCTCTTTTTTTTTGTTCGCTCTCAGGCACTTTGACGAGGGCCTGTATCGATGGCTCATCAGGTAAGAGGCACTTCATGAGCGGACGACAGACTAATTCAGATGTTAATGCTTACTAAAAATGTAAAATGTCATCTAAATCAAATAATACTCCTAGAATATCCAACTCTCTGTCTGTCTATATATCCAGCTGTCTAGCTATCCATCTGTCTGTCAATCTCTGTATGTATCCATTTATCTCTCCACAGTTTTTCTTGCTTTATATTTGGAGTAGCGTGTGTTTATTTATACTGTATCTGCTATTTACTGCACACTTACTGTGAAGAGCTCATTTCCTGCAGTTGAATAACCTTAAAAAAAGCTGCCATTCTCCAGCTGCCTGCCCGCATGTGTCATCATAATGGACAAGGATGCTGCATTTGCATGTAGGCTTTCTCATGATTATGAGCTTGCATGTTGTTGCTGAATAGTTCCCTCTGTTGTGTTACTGTTCCCGCACTCTGGAGAAATGCCTCCTTGTTTAATATGTGCGTATGTAATGGGAGCATTATGTGTTTGCTCAGTTGTACTTTGGACAACACACATTATTAGTTCGTCTGCTTTTTAATGATGCACACTTGGCTGAATGCAGCCTTTTGGGAGGTTATGGTCCGCTTGGTAGACGCGGGTTGCTACATGGAGGCAACGCCGCAGTTGCACGGTTGTCAGAAAACACTGGTAGTCTGTGCTCCCTTGTCTTGGTTATTGTTTGCTAATTAGTTTTTGTGTCGACACGTATGATGGTGTACATGTACACTTGCTTTTCAGACAGTAATATGAGCTTGGAAGGAAATTTGGCATATCAGGCTACTAAAGAGGCTCCAATTAATTTGCTAAATATACCAGAATTTAAATTGCAAATGTAAGTTTCCATTTTAATCCGTGTCCATTGGAAATTGTTTTCTCCTGCTTAATGGCATCGCTTGCAATTATCCTACTGCAGATGCAAAATGATACCCATGACACAATGCCCTGGCGTTCCTTCTTGTGAAAGTGCTTTTAAAGAGGTTTTAATGCAGTATTGAAATTCTGTTGAAATTGTCAGAAGAGCGCTAGATGAGTGCGTAGGTGTTAAATGATGTGCTCTACATGACTCACTGACACCCCGTCTCCCTGGGCAGCTAAGTGGCTCATTCTTCACCATTCCATTACGCTTTCCCCGTCTGTGTGCCACTGTGTACCAGGTTCTCTGTTTCATACAGTTATCAGCCAACAAAAGAGCTCTCACTGGCTGTTTGACTGAGTTCTTGCTGCTACGTGTGAGGAGGAGTATTTGATCCCAAATCCTGGGGAAAATAGTTGTAAATAAATAAGTGGGGGGATGGGCTGAGGGGTGTCGACATCTTAACTTTGGTTCTGATTGCACTTAAAGGATAAGTTTGGCATTTTTCAACTTGGACCCTATTTCCATGTATGAATTGATCACATACACTGATGTGAACAACAATTTTTGAAATAGTTTCAGTATTGAGGGATGCAGCAGCGACCGGCTCCCTCAATACTAGAAAATGCCAAACTATGGGCGCATTCACACTGCTGCTATTTGTACCGCTTTAAACGAACCCTGGTCCGCTTCCACGCATAGTTCAGTTCGTTTGGAGTGGTGTGAGCGCTTATTGAAAGTCTGGTGTGGACCAAACGAGCAAACCCTGGTCCGCTTGAAAACTGGGGGGTGAACCCTGGTGCGGTTTGCTTACAGTGGGAAATGCAAACGGACTATCTAGGGAACCAAAGAGAGGAAGTGACGTAGAGCGCAGTGCATTTTGGTGTTTGGTGTTTTTGTGGTGAACAAGCTGGCTGAAGGGGATGGATTTCCGTTTTCAGCCCTGGCCAATCAATGAGCCGGGTTTTCTTCTTCCTCATGCTTTTTGTCTTCCTGGTCAGTGGTCATTTCGGTTAATACCACCCCCAAACGAGCAGCTGTTGGAACTGCGTGGCGTTGTCCAGGCGGTTTGGTCCACTTTAAAAAGTGCAGTGTGACAGTGAACTGAACCAAATGAAGGTGTGAAATTTTTCGGCATTCCCCACCTAATCGAACCAAGTCCCCCGGACTATCCTGGTGTTAATGCGCCCTATGTTTACTGTAAAAGACTCTGGTTATTAAAGAGTTTGTAAATAGAAGTTTTGATGACTTTTGCTGCTGGTAAACGTCGACCCCCCTGATTTCAATTCATTAAGACTATTTTCCATTTAAGGATTCTTCTTCACCAGTCATTTGAGAAAAACAAAATTCTCTTCACGAATAAAGCATAACACGGGGTGACTGACGTACAAATGTTAATTTGGTAGATGAAGTATTCCTTTAAAGCCAAGAACTATCAAGTATACTGAGCCAACACTGAAACCAACACTGTCTAATTGACTGTCACTGACTGTCTAATGCCTGCTGCCTGTCTCTAAACGTTGTGTGCGTGTTGTCTGCATCATCTGCTTGCAGGTGTTGCGTAACACATTGATTACTCAGGTTTTAATGTATGTCTCTAAAGTGTCACATGTTGCTTAACATCTGTTTAGATTCCATCTCAATAAATTACATAGACGTATAGGTGCTCAGCATGTTTAAGTATTCAGTTTGCTCCGGCTCAAACACTCTGGTTGCTCTCCATCTGTTTTTGCACCTTCTCTCATCCTCCAATATGGCCAAGCTGGCCACTCTATTTAAGGCTCAGAAAATGCTGGCTCATCTTTCAGAAACATTGATTATCCACAGGGTGGCTGAGATAATTAGTTCCCAGCTCAGCAACACTAGATCAAGAATGTGATGTTTGTTTGTAAGCGTGTTGGAGTGATGTAGCACGTTGAGACGTGGTACCTCTGGGACAGACGAGGTTCTCACAATATCTGAGACCATTTTTCTTCACAGCAGGCACCACAGTCGTTACTGATTGGTGCGATCTTATTCACATCATGTGGGCTATCATCTGCTATTTTTATACCACATGAAGTTTAATCCCATTTAAACCACAGTAGAATTAAATGCATTTGCTGTTTGTTTAAACCAAAATGATAAAATCGGATCTCACCCAACCAAAACATGAGCGAGCTTTAGTGAGGGAAAAAAAGTCAACTTGACATAGAAAGTGGGTTAAATGTGTGTCAAGGTTTTGGTGCAAACACAGAAACCACTTTGGAATCATTAACCCAATTGCAGCATTATTAACAACTTGGTAGGATTGATTGATTCCCTGAAGTGCCTCTATTTTTGCACCAGACGTCAAAGCAACATTTATTTCATTAAAAATCAATGAACATGACATGATCATTTGTGTTGCAGGTGTTCTTTGCAATTCATCGGTGCATTGTGGTGCCATTTTCAACCTCCCCTTTGTTTAACATCTACACTGTTTGCTGGCTGCAGTATGTCTGTGTCCTGTCCTTACAAGGGGTCTGTCTGTTAGTATCACCAGTTATTTGACAGGGTCCCTGCAAATTCTCAAAAAGTCTTAAAAAGGCATTGAATTCATTGATCTTAAAGGCCTTAATTGGTATTAAAATGTCATAAATCAATTGTTTAAAAAGTCTTAAAAATGCTAGGACATGGGAGTTAGATTTTATGAATGACGAGGTATTGTAAGATCTTTTTTTCTTAAATAATTTACCGAATGCCTCTTGCATTAATGTCACACAGATCAGGATAATGGAACTCATATTTTGTTTCTGGCCGGGATGCCCAGAGCAGAGGATCCACTGCTAGTTAGCTGTCTGTCTGCCTGAGCAACATGAGGAAGTGCAAATTCAACAAAAATTGGGTATTACACCAAGATTAAATCACGACAGGCATTGCATACAAGGCTTGGTGTACTTGCAAAACATTTTTTAAACTCAAAAATTGAGGTTCAAGGCAATGGAATCTCACATGCAGATTAAGAAGAAAATTATAAGAAGAAGAAGAAGAAAACAAATGTCAGGTATTTCCCAGTTCTGCTCTACTCTCATCTCCACCGCAAGACAAAAAAGTCATGTTTTAACTTACAGTCAACATTTGGTTAAAAATTTTCCCTACCCTAATTAATTGATGTCAGTTTATGCATTTAACTTCTATTTTGGTTATTGTAAAATTGAAAATTGAAAATCATTTTGAGTGGCATTTAAAGAGTTGGGCGGCACAACCATTGCACCACTGTGCGGCCCTGCACGATGGTGCAATGGTTAGCACTGTCGTCTCACAGTAAGAGGCTTCCCTGAACCCAGGGAGGGGGAGTACCCCGGGTTCCTCCCACAGTCCAAAGACATGCAGGTTAATTGGTGACTCTAAATTGTCAGTAGGTGTGAATGTGAGTGTGAATGGTTGTCTGTCTCTATGTGATAGTCTGGTGACCTGTCCAAGGTGTACCCTGCCTGTCGCCCAACGTCAGCTGGGATAGGCTCCAGCACGCCTGTTTCTTTGTGTTGGACAGGTTACAATCTCCTTTAAAGAGCTGGAACATTTTATTATTCCTCATTGTGTTTTATTTTTTTATTGTAATGTACTTTTGTTTCAGATACATCTACGTGCCGTTGGGAGGTTCGCGGCATGGCCTTCCTTACAAAATGTTATCCACTGGCCTTGCGTTCGGATTCGTCTGCCTCTGGCATGGTGGCCATGACTACTTACAGTACTGGGCTCTGATGAATTGGGCTGGAGTTCTGGTGGAAAATGGACTGAAGTCTCTCTTCGCCTTGTCCTTTATTCGCTCCATTGTTGTAAGTTTGAAATCCAAGTGTTTGCCTTGTGACAGTGCAAAAAAAAAGGATGTTAAGAGAATTACATTGTAGATATGATTCCCTGGTTATTCCATCAATTGGATTTTTGCCTAAGATGTGTGATGTTGAAATCTGTCCTGTAGCTAGAAATAAAGGGGTCATATAATCTGATTTAATAAGAGATAATGCCTCGGGCTCCAACAGTTAGTACAGACAGGATCGGATCCTGTCACATCTGATTGTACTGTACAGTTAACTCAGCATTAATGTGAGAAAAACTTTCCAATACATTAACAATAAAACCATTCAGGCTGTTCTTGCTGCTTTTACCTCTAGCCTTGGGGGAAGGTTCATGTTCTCAGTAAAGTCTGATGGCAGACTGTGTAATCCTCCTAGTTTATGGTCACACAGTCCATTAGCACCAGGTGCTTTGCTGCACTTTGTCTCTCAGATTTACGATGAAAATCTCCTGTGGTTCTGCTGCAATTTACTTATTTATTTACTGATTTCCCAGGAGCAGAATTTCTCCCCGGCGATGGAGAGGCGTTGCGTTGCCCTTCTCTCTGCCTTCTCCACTGCTATGCTCATCCTCTCTAATCTGGTGTTCCTTGGGGGGATACATGTTGGCAGAATCTTCTGGAAGCGTGTCTTCATTCAAGGTAAATTGTCTCCCACAGCACTCGCTCAATAGGATTTCTGTTTGCCTTTTAATTTGCAGGATTGTTTCAGCTGGCGTTTATACGTTTGTTTACAACGTGGAGCATCAGTCATGTCGTCTTTTAATTTGACTGTTTAGTCGCACTGTGGGACATTTAACCTTCTCTTTCAGTGGGGACGGCAGCTCTAGTGACAGTAGTGTGTCTAAAGCAACAGTTAGAGAGAGGCCAAGTGGAAAATTGGGTCTGTATTAGACAGCCCCTCCAGGATATTGCAGTGTCATGACTGCAACAATGAATTCTGCATGACCTTGCAATGTTGTCCAATCACTGCGTCTTTTCTGTGGATTTGACCAGTCATCATAGTTTTGCATGAGTTTCATCAAACATAACGTCCCCTGTACAGCGTCATCATACTCACTTTCTTGTTTCTGGTTGTGAAGATGAAGACGTGTGACATGAATGTCCCACAGTTAGCAACAAAAATTACTGCTAAAGACCGTACAAGGCAATTCCCTGATGTTCTGCACAAAAGGGGAGGTAACTTGTTTTCCACCATGTACAATGTTGTGATGGGACACAAATGACAATGATTGACAAATACTTTTTTTACCACAAAACTCACCTTGTTAATGGCTGAAACGGAGGCTGTTGCATCCAGATCTGTTGCACATGTGGTAACGTAAAAAACATCTGAAAACATTGCAATATGATTGCTATTTTCTAGAAAAGCTGCTATGAAATCAAGCATTTTAGGCCATAACAGTCCCAAAAGCCCACAAATTCCTGGAGGGACTGAGAGCTGCAACAATTTGTTGTTTAATCAGTTAGTTAACAGACAGAAAGCCAAACATTTGCTGGTCTCATGCTTCTAAAATGTGAAAATCTGCTGCTTTTCTTCGTCGTACCAAATAAGACTGAACAGCTTTGGATTCTTGGACCGTTTTGAACCATTTGAATTACACAGGGCATGTTTTTGACGTTTTATTAATCGAAATAATGATTTTAAGATTAATTGATTATGAAAATTATTATAAACTGCAGCCCTGGTTGGTTTATTTATCAGCAGTGTATTCAGTGGATGCAGAGGCTCTGGTTTTACTGGGGCGTTTTATGCATCTGCTGGGGCAAACTCTCCCAGATAGAGAGACATCTGCTTCGTGGTTGTGCCAGTCTCTGTTTTGCTCCCCGTGTCTTTTTATTTGGCTCATTTGGTACCTAAAGCAAGATGGCAGGCCGTCCTGAAGCCTGTCTGCTCATGATAAGCAGTCTGAGCTGTACTCGCCGCTGGGTTGGGCTCAGAGTCAGTGGCCAGAGCTCAGCTCCGCACTGATACTTTCTCATGTAATATAATTCTATTAACAAGAACAGTTAATTAATACTGAAATAAAATGCATAGTTTAGTGATTTTTAAAGCAGCATTAACTGATTTTTTGGGACAATCTGAAAAGTGACATGATCTTTTAAAGTTGGTTTTAGTGTCAGCACAGTTTCCTATTTACACATCCAGCAGACCCAGAGCAACATTATTACATGTATCTTGTGTTAATGTTATTTAGTCTTTGGGCCTGTGCAGCCTGACGAGGGTCATATTCCAGTCACCAGTTCAGCCTTATTGTGACAGTCAAAATTAGTCTGAAGCCTGCCAGGCTTACAGCAAATTGTGTGTTAACATTATGCTTCTTCTAGTAGACTTGGTGTAAATAAGTTAAGAGAAACCTAAAAATAAGAGCAGGGTGTTTTAAAATACCATTTCTGTTGTGAATTATTCAGACTCAGACCTAGAAACTAAACTGAGAATCTCAGTTTGCCTCTATGGAGTTTCATTCAGAGCATTAAAATACTAAAAATAAAGATATAACATGGCACTGCCTGGTGCTTACATAAAATGATAAAACACACCATTGAACAAACCAGTTAATCATTTTTTCGCTTTCAGTAAGTTCTTATGATTTTGTACTTTAAATTGAAATATAATGGATCCAGCAGAAATGCCTGCAGCTATTCTTTCTGTCTGCATGTGTCTGCACAATGAAGCACCAATGGGGGAGTTGCAGTTTTCTTCATTAACATGAGATCAATGCTTTTAAATCAGCCTGTCTGGGATTTTTACTGCTGCAGGCGGTGCCGTAATTGCACGCTTTGACCTCTCTGGTGAAATGTACAAAAACAAATTCCTAATTACACTGTGTTTGTAGTTGTATAGGTGGATGTGTGTATGCTGCCTTCACATGCCACCCAATAGCCCCCATGTAAGATCACTCTAAAGTTGTAGATGTGAGTGACGCAGAAAAGAGCTGCATAATATATCTCATTGCTCATTATGTGAAATTATAATAGCTAGAATAAAAACTTTTCATGTTTTATTCCACTTCACTCTTGAATGGTGCTTTTGTGTCTGTTAAGATATAGTATCAGTAGAGTTACAGTACTTTTACTTGATTAGCACATTGATTTAGTTCCACCTCTGTTTGCCAACACTTCTGCCAGAAAAACATCCTCTATAGCCACGCTAGCGGCTCTGTGAGGCCGTACTTAGACACGTTCACAACGATAATGCTAACATGATCATGATTAGCAGGTTAAGCTAATGTTCAGTATGTTAGCATGATAACATTTGCTAATTAGTAGGGCTGCCCACGACTAAGAATTTTCCAGGTCGACCAATAGTCATCATTTAGGTCCATTAGTCGACTAGTCGCCTGCATGTTTTATTAATGTAATTATTAAATGATATATTTTGGTGGTTTGAGTTGAAGGTATGAGAAAGAATAGTATCAGTAACATTGTTAACACTGTGCTACATTACAGAGAAATACAAAACCGTACTAATGAACCTTCATTAATATAGGCCTATATTTTATCTACAAGTGCACGTCACACACTGAGCGAGCTGCCTGTTAATGACGCTGTGGGCTAATGGGCATGTAGCTACTTCCATGTTTCAGATGATACGTCATGTTTGTAGTCGACCAATGAGGATGAGTTTACATATCACCTTGGGTTCGTCCTTCACCTTCTCAAAATGATCCCACACTTTGGATTTCCTGCCCGACATGTTATTAACTAGCCTGTGGAATAACCGCACGTAGAGTTAGGGTTTTTTTTCTGCGACTAAGTGACCAATAAAATCTTGCCAACTAATGACCTTTCTGTTCAACTAATGTTTGATCAGCTATTACAGGGCAGCCCTACCAATTAGCAAGCTAAGGCTAATTGGAATGTTGTTAGTTTTGCATGTATGTATACAACCTCTGGGCTGAAGTGCCAAAATCAGCACTTCCTCTAATGGCCACTTGAGGCTGGCTCCAGAAATGAGTCAATCCCCACAGACCCCCATGTTAAAATACCCAACTTCACAGCAGAAATAGACAGGTTTACAGCCTGGTACAAAAACAGTTTTGTCTCTATAGCTAATTTCAACATAACAACTTGTGCAGTGGTTGAATTTCTATATAACTCACCTGTTTACGTACATTAATTAAGGCTTAAAGTTTCACATATTTAAGGACAGGGCTGCTTGAGTGACAGGTTGTTTGCAAGGTGTCGCCACAGTTTGAGTCATATGGTCCCAAGAACTAAGATGGCGACTGTCAAAACTCTAAATACAAGGCTTCAGAACAGCAGTCTACAAACCAATAGGTGACGTCACGGACGCCACGTTGATTATTTTATACAGTCTACGATCTTAACTCATGAATCAAAGTATTGGACAAAGTGAAATTTTGACCTGATGATGGCGCTGGATGAGATCAGGAGTCACCACAGAGATCACACTTCACCCTGAGGGGAACATGAACATGGACATTTCATAACACTGCATCCAATATAAAGATATTTCAGTCTGGACTGACAGACAGAATCATTCCTAGGCTTAAAAACCCCCTCACGTTTGCTAATTTGTCGAACTACACATGAGTTGTCTTTCTGTAAGTCTAATGGTGTAATGTATCCAGAGAGACAGATGAGGAAGAGCTCAACCAACACCATGTCCGTTTCTGCTCCACTGAGGAGCACAGTCGTTCTGATCACTAATCAGTTTTATATTTAGTTCTGAGTTGCCTCTCTGCCAGTGGTCCTTTCAACTCTTTTGAACTCGAAGCACTCTGTTAATCAAGTGCCAAAGAACTGTGGTGTAATTAGCACTGGTTGATTAAAATCATAGTAACATTCAACTGGATGAGATTTATTTTTTTCGCTATTAATTTGTAGTCGCAACAACTCTGTTACATTTCTAACACTTCCAGAAGTTTGACTAGTGGTGCGTGTGTTTCCTTTAAGTTCAGATTCTCTCTCTGTTAGTTTGAAGTCAGTAACAGCAAAGGTTGGATAACTGGTTGGAGAATTTATTTCACACTGAGGGCGTTAATGAATTTTACATACCTGCAAAGACAAAACGCTTGGATGTCTTGGCCCAACAGCAAAGGCTTGCTCACGGTGCACCCGGGGCCCTCGAGCTGAAAAGCTTTGTACGATTGATTTAGAGTTCAGACACACATAATAATTCAAATTGCGCATGAACATGTCTAATGTGATTAAACCAACATTAATAATTAGCTGACATTTACTGGAAATTATGCTAATGTTCTGCATACTAACATTTTGTGTTGTGCAGACTTCACAGCACAAAACGTGACTTCAGAACAGCACAGAAATATTTATCAGCAAAAAATACGTCTTTTCTAGCCTCAGCCCGTGTAACCTTTCTCTGCAGCAGACAGGAAGCTGACAGTGGAGCTGTGCATAAAGCAGCCCGTGCGTGTATGTGAATTAGATTTTGACATGAATGGAAAAGAATAGACCATTGAAAAGCATTGTGGGTGCAGGTGCAGGTTACTGAGATAATCTGGAGGCAAGCCAGTTGGGGAGGAGGTGCAGACAGCTGTCCTTACCTGCCTGCTCGACCCTCGAAGAAGCAGCTAAAAATAGAAAAAGAGAAAAACCGTGACACAACACAGAACAGCAAAATACCTACTACTCTCTGGCTCTCTTGTTCTTGTAAGAATGCAAGTCTCTCTGGAAGTTACTCTGTAAAGCATCAGTACATAGCAGCATCAACATTTGGTTTCTTTACATTTCAGGCTGGTCCACCTTGTTCCCGCCTATGCTGGCTTTCCTCTACTGCTTTGCTCAGATTGGGCTTGAGTGGACTTCTCACCCACCATGAGTCACCTTGACATTTTATCGGAGCGAGAATCAAGCCACGAGACATCCCAAACAACCTGCTGAGTCCAGTGCCTTCTCCTCACCAGTCTCTGTGGCGAACCTGGCTCTTGGCCACAGAACCTGTCCAAACCTGGCCAAAGTGCAGCTGAGCAGCCACTTTTCACAATCTGCAACACAAGGCAAAATCTGCCTGTAAGCTGAGACTTAAAGGATTCACTCCAGGAGAGAGTCTCCTACTTTGTGGAAAATGTTAAGTGCACACAAACTGTAATAAAACGAGTGTAATGCTGTAAATCAGTGTGGTCTGAACAGAGCCTTTGGCAGTGCCAATAAGCTGCTCTGACTCACTGTTATTAAGAAACTGTAAAAGAAATACGGACCCTGAATCTGTCTTGGTTATATGACTCTGATAAGGTATTGCTCGCTGGTGCGGAGAGCCGTAGAATGCTAATTTCATATTTACCATCCCTTAGCTCGCCACAGAATCATTTGTGTATACAGAGGCAGACAAAAGGCACAGGAGACTGAATAGAGCAGCAGGAACCTAATCAATGTCATTATTCCCTCAACAGATGCAATTTGGGTGAAGGAGAATGACACTAATATTAGTAGATGTATTATTAAAAGGCTTCAGACGGACTACACATTAACTAATTCAACACAGTAACAGTGATAGATGACATTTATCCACTGGAACGCAAAGGAAAGCTTTTTTTTTTTCTTTGAGCAAGGATGTTAAAAAAAACACAAGCTGCTCGTTTTTTGCTAATGTTTTGTTACATAATGCCTCGAGTTGCCTCCAAAATGTCAACTGTACAGTACCTCAGTCTGCGTTTGGATTAAAAACTTAAAAACCATGTTGTAATGGATAGCCGTGCTGCAACTGATGTAATGAGTCATTCACTGTTTTACTGTTCCAGCTGTGTGTACGAATCAGGAGTGTTTCGGGTATGAGGTTAAATCAACTTGAAAACTCTTCCAGAACTTGTTGTCAGCTTTTCAGGAAGTATAAAAACATTTGAAATATATAGAAATGTTATTATTTTAATTGTGACAAAGCTTTATACAGAGTTCTGACAGACTTTAATAAGTATTTCGACCAGTATGAGTCTATATTTTTCTACAAATCCAGTCAAAAGACCAAATTAAAACCATTAACCTGTCTGTGGCCTTCAGCCCCAAGTTCACTCATTCCTGTTCATTCTAAGACTTAAATCTTTAAAAATGGATGAATAAAACATAGCGTTTATATTTTATAAAGGCTAAGTAATTCCTTAAAATATCTGAGCACTTTTGTTCTTAGCAAATGTTACTCTAACAGGAGTACATAGTGTTTTTGTTGGGACTGTTTCCAGCTGCAGATTAATACATATTCAGGACACCACAGTTGATTCCACACTACTGAAGCTGCTCCTCTTTTTGGAACCACTGTGGGGTCAGTAATAATTTCACTTTCAGCCATGTTTGTTGTTGCCGTGAGTAACAGTATGACTTCAACATGTCAACAAGTTAAAATAATATCGCGAGTATCACAATATGAATTTTTCATATGATATTAAAAATTATACATGTATTATGTAAAAATGTGTCATTCAGTTTGTGTTTTTGGTCTTTTCATTGAATTCATTGTCAGTAACAAAAAATAAGAATAAAGATATCACCACTGACCTCTGTTCCTCCCAGAGAGGTCTCAGATGTTGGTCGAACTATTAGACTACTGGATAACTTACGGTAATTCATGCTCAATGAGGTGTGAGCCTTTCAAATGTCAATTAGCTTTAAGGGTTAGAGCTGCAGAGGTTTGTCATCTAACCAGTTAGTCAATCGACAGAAAATTATCTATTTTGGAAATCAATTCATTTTATGTTATTTTTTAAGCAGAAATATAGCACTTTTTCTAGTTTCAGCTTTTCAAATGTGAGGATTTGCTGATTTTCTCTAATTTATATAATTGTAAACTCAATATATTTAGGATTTGGGTAGTTTGTCAGACCAAAGAAGACATCTTATGACGTCACCTTGGACTGTTGCAAGGGACATGTTGTACTGTGTTGAGATAAGAAGTTTATTTTCTCATGAAAACAGGTTATTTTATGCAAGATAACTTGAATGTATCATGAGAAAACATTTGTTTTCTGGAGATTATGAAATAATTATCAAGAACTCGAAAATAAGTGTCTGGTTAATTTAATTATACCTGATCTCATCCTTCAAGATCACCGTCATGACTGTCAGTGAGGATTCACAGCTGAACCTTGATTGAGGTGCAGCCTGATGCATTAATAATGGGTACTCCTTGATCTGACATTTTCAGCTTGAATCAGTTGCTACAGTTGTCAAGACTCCATCTACAATATGCATGCTGGCACGGTATTCCTCATCTCTGATAAACATAAGTAATAAGAGGAAACAACCTTTTGTTTTCTTGTGATAACGGGCCGCTTATTTCGTCACCTTGAGATATAAGAAAGCTAGTTTCCCCCAAACGGCTTTAAATTAAAGTTTGCAAGCTTCTCGGCTTCTGTTCTTGTGACATTTTATACACTAAACAATTGATAATTCAGAAAATAATTGTCACATGAACCAAAAATGGAAATAATCTTCATGCGCAGATCTATTTAAAGGTCTGGTTTAGGCTGTCCCACGTAGGTGCTGTCCCACGTAGGTGCTGAGCTGGATTACCTGATGCAATTGGAGAAAAGCTTTTAAATAAAGTTTAACCAATGAATATAAACACCTCTTGGTGATAAGTTGCTTGTCTTAAAAGCTTTTGAATTAACTTTCAGTTCACCGATCACAGTAAATAATTTACTTTACTGCAATCCAGTGTGTCACCCGTTTCAAAAGACAAACTCTGTGTTCCAGGGTGTAACAGGAAGCTGCTTTAAAAAGCTGATCTGTGCTCTTTTTGTGTCTTTTGAGTTTTGACAGCTTTGTGATGTGGCAAAAAACCAATCTGATCCTCTTACTATTCACAGTGCACTGTAAGAAAGGCAAACAGCTTCAGGGTATGGCTTCCACGGAGATTAGTTTAAGAATGAGTGAATTTTTAAATCAGAGGTGTCATCGCTGACTGATTCATCGTTAACATAAAACTCTCACGTTGCCTTTGGTCGTTCATTGTCATGCTGAAATATTCGACTCTTCCCAAGGTTTGAATGTTCAGGTTTTCAATCAGTGATCTTTTTTTCATCTGCAGAAGATGTTAACAATTAATAGCTGCCATTATTAACAGTCATATACTTACATCTCAGCAGTGTTTCACTTTATTGTTGTGCGTCCCATCTGTTAGACCTTCATCAGAGCATACACGAGGCAACAATGGACAGGCTGGTAAAGTAACTAATCTCAGTCACACACAACACACCTGTGCCCAACCCTGGTAGTAGGAGCTCCACCTCCTGGGAGTTGTAGTTTTTTTTTGTTTTTTTTTTAATTCTGGGTGTTTCTCAAAGTCAAGGATCCTTCCTTGGTAGGATGAGTCCTTCCAAGGAAGGATCCTATCCTGTCCCCAGGTGTATGTCATTAACTCTCAGCAGACTGAGGGGGTTTCAGGGTACTGTGGTAATTTTGGCATTCTCTAATGTTGTTGTACAATTGAACAAATATAAGCAGTATCTTCAGAGTCACGTGACTTTTAGGGAGACTCTATTTCTGGATTATACTTTAAAAAAACAAAGAGGTAGGCTAAATAAATCATGTCATTTTAAAAAGGTCAATATTCAGCAGTGGACACATTGGAAAGTGTAAATTATGAGGTTTCTGTCAGTATTTTTTTTTCATGCTTGTATGTTAAAAACTTGTGGAGACATTTATCCAAATAAATGACGTATTTATCTACATCCTGCCGAGCTCCGCTGGCACAGGTTTCATTGAAGAGGCTCTGCCTTCACTTACAGCAAATTTTGTGCAAAGCATTGTGGGGATTCTTTACCCGCGAAGGATCCACACATGGATCCTTGAAATTTCTCTGAAAGAAGGACTCAGTCCCTCACAAAACTCAGAAAGATCCTTGACATTGGAACAGTCCTTCGGCAGGGGTCGATGACGTAGCATCCTTCAAATCCAGCCATTTAAGGGTCCTTCCTTGACTTCGAGACACACCCTCAGTCCTTTGTGAAACTCGGAAGGATCCTTGACATTGGAACAGTCCTTCAGTGGGGGTCGATGACGTAGCGTCCTTTAAATCCAGCTGTTTGAGGATCCTTCTTTGACTTTGAGAAACACCCAGTGGTTGAGTTTTTTGTTGAGCTTTCGGTTTAGTAGACATTCATCAGAGCAATGGACAGGCTGGTAAAAGTAACCAATCTCAGTCTAATCACTGGCTGTATGCAACACACCTGTGCTTAACCCTGGTGGTTTGTCAAAGTCAAGGATCCTTCCTTGGTAGGATGAGTCTGTCTTTATTTAGCCATCTTAGTTAAGAGTTTTGTATCAACCCCAGAGTCACACATCTTGAATAAATATCTTACTAGTGGATTTACATCCTGGATAGATCTCTTTTAAAACATCAAAAAGATAGCTTCTCACTTTAGCCAGGTAGACTGTATTGTGCCGAAAGCTGCTCTTAAGATTTAATTCCTTTATCCCCAAACATTTGTCCAAATTGAAGGTCTAATAGACCAAAAGCTCAACAATAAAGTGACACATTGCATAGATGTACATGTGCAGAAATCTTTCTCTACCAGTCTGGACTTATCGAAGTTTCCAGCACCTTGCCAAGACCAAGCTGGGCGGAGCGGTGGTTACTCTACAATAAAAGCAGAGTCTAATCTGGACTCTGTTGTTTGAGGTGAGCCTCGGGTGTTTTCATTAGTTGATGTCTCTTCTCAGGATTATCACATCTGTGACACTAAGTAGGATCAATTTGAGCGGGGGGTCAGCAAGGAATCCTCTTAAATGAGCACAAGACGGTGAGGTTTATCTGACGTAAGAAGATCAGCAGGAGAATACACCTGCTGAGTTAGACTCTCTCAGTAAAGTGCCCTCGTCACTGGCGGGGGAGCTGAAACACAAGGACTGACAGATGAATGGATGCTACACGGTGCCATGCTTTCCCCCACAGAGAGAACACACAGGGTCCAGTATGTATAAAATATTTATTATGAATAGTACAGTATGTCACAGTTCATAACAAAGAGTTCCCATTGTGCTTGAAATAGGTACATTTCTCTTCACTCGTGAACATAGAGGCATGTGCATATTACATAAACCATACACCAAACTCAAACTTTTCTCTTCCTTAAGAATCTAAACATTGCAATATAATCTGTGCATATATATGTTTATATGTGTGGAGGGTTTTATAACTAGGCAGCTTTCTAGAGCTGACCACAAAAATAGTTCTGTGTTCAAATCATTTCAAAGGAGTAATTTGGATATTTCTCACTGCAGGCCAGGAAAAGGGGAGTACGGGGCAATATAATGAAGGCACAGTGTTGCATGCTTCTCAGTAGCAATCAAAGGTAATGACTTTAATACTATTAGGGTAATGAAGTGGTAGTGCAGTACTGTAAAAAGTCTGTTTCACTTGGTGGCTTTAAGGTCTTTCCATATTTCTCTCACTGTTTTGTTTATAAATGTTACAGCACAGAACTACATATTGCTTTCAAGGATCTTGTCTCTGAGTTTTAGAGTGCACCCAACATCCCGTTTTAGTAACACATATTTATGGTGTTGGTAAAAAATTCAGCCTCTTGAATCAGGCGTAGGTGAAAGCACTCTCCACATGCCATATCTTTGTGGTCGGGCTGCATTCAAACACAAAAAATCTGATTTTTAGCTAAAACAGATTTGATCTTTTTTACTGATTTTATTAGGAAAAATCAGTCCCATCTGGTTCTGTACATTAAAGAAAAATTACAGTGTAAATATAAACAATAAAAGAATACAGGCAATCAAAATGAAAGTTTAAAATAAACTTTACAAATATTACCAGGTCTGTCATTCATCTGCGTCGTCGGTGAAGCCAAACTTTATTTGGGCTCAAATGAAAAATTACATCATCAGTAACTGCAAAGAAAACAATTTATTTGTCATCTGTTTAAGAAAAATATTATATCCAGTGTGGGTTTAGTGTGGGCAAATGACGTTAATAAGAATAAAAATGACAGTGAGCACCTCATTGTTGTTTAAAAGTCAGAGCAGGGTAGAGTGTTTCATTTGTGTTCATGAAGCTCAGTGTACGTTCAATCAGGAAGACTGTCTTCATGCTATCCCACTCCCACCACTTCCATCAATCAGCTGACTCTCAGTGTTCCCTCTCCTGGTCAGCTAATCAAACTTTGCCACAATCTTCTTCGGCCATTCATGTTGCTGCTGCCAAACTTTAAATCTCTTTTCCTCTCTGCTCCTGTCAGCTGTCATTTTAGGCAGAATCAAAAGCTCATTCCTCTTCACATTCAGATCCTCAGCTCCCTCTTCATCTCATCTCATCACCACCACCACCAAGGTCTAGACTCCATACGGGGGGGATTCCTAATCTACCATGTCTCTACCATCCTCTTGAAATAGTATATAACATCACGGTGGGGTCTAATCGCCAAAGACTTTTCGCATTTCTCATACTTATGTGCACATGTAAATAAAAAATATTCATTATTTTCTCTCAGAACGAGGCTCTCCTGATTGAAATTTCTTTTAAACAGTTGTGTAACATTCAAAGATGTACACCTTTAACTCCACATAATGGGACTTAAAATGTAATCTCGAGCTGTCATGCATACTAAAGCTCACAATCCAGTTGGTGTTTTTAAAAAAAAATGAAAAGCATCAACTCACTTTCTACACTATATTCTCTCTGAGAGAAACAATTTAAAACAAACTTACTGGCCCTACAAAGTCATAACTTATTATTATGAGGGAATAGTTCGACATTTTGGTGTTTATTCACTTTCCTTTTCAGTATTAGATGAGAAAATCGATGCCACAGCTAGAGCCAGAGGTCAGTTAGCTCAGCTTAGCTTAGCTTAGCTTAGCATAAAGACTGGGAGCAGGGAGAAACTGCTAGCCTAGCTCTGTCCACAGTTCAAAAAACACATACCGGCACAGTGAAACCTTAACTTGTTTTAACACAAATGTGTTGATGAATGAGCTTTAGATGTGCTGATATGTGCTTTTAAGATAGCTGTTTCCCTCTGCTTACAGTCTTTATGCTAGGCTAAGCTAAGCTAAGCTAGTCAACTCCTGGCTCTACCTCTGTAGTTTATGTACAGACATGGGAGTGGTCTCGATCCTCTCATCTCCACAAAGCAAATTAGTACATAACCTAAAATGTCAAACTATACTTTTAAATTGTCCTAAATACTTTGATCTTTGCACTTCGCACGTAACTGCTCAAACCTTAATTGTACGTATCAGTCTGTTTGAGCATGTATGTGACGTGAAGCTAAATTAGGGCTTTAAACCTGCGCAATTATTACAAATGTTGCCCAATTTAAAAACAAAAACAAAAACATTTAAGAGGTACTTTGTCTGTCCAGAATTACTATATATTGCAATACTATGATACTTGTTTTTTCAAAGTCTGTAGAAGGGAGTGTGGTGACATTTTTAAGACACAAAGCTTGGATGCAAACACAGCAGTAAACATTTTACCTGCATCATTAGATTTGTCCTGCAGTGATATATCTACCAAGTTTTTAGGACACCATTATGTAAAATTTATAAGGACAGATCATCACAAGGCTTTCTCACAGGACTTTGACATTGTAATTGATTAATAATTTTGATAGGAAAAGAAGTTTCAGCCTAGTTTTATGCTAATAAAATGAAAAGTATCAGTTATACCGTAAATCACTCTGTGCACTGAAGTCTGCACCCGGCTTGTCTCAATCATAACTGGAGAAAAGTAATATTAATATAATCGCTTTTCACCACATTTGTTAAATGTCAGAACTTATAAAGGCTGTGTCTGCCATCACATTATTTCTATGCTCTGTCTTTATAGCGTGACTAAATTCCTCAGAGACAGTGTCGGACCTTCTTTTTGCCTCCCTCTGATTTCTGAACTCGTGTGTGAGCTGCAGCTTTACCAATTCTCTGTGATACAAAAGTCATAGCACGATGATTTTAGTGCTTTTCCCTCTCTAAGATCAAAACTCTTTGTGAAAGCAGACCCACAACGACACACAAACACTGTCTCTAAACCAAATGAGTTCTCACTTCTGTGATGACATGCCCATTTATATTTAAGCAAGCTGAATTTTTGATGGACACGGAGCCACAGAATGTGTCAGAGAAAAAAAAACCCAGCGCCTTTTTCCTCTCAGCTGTGTCCGGCTGAGCTTGTCTTTTGTCTTGATGAGAGAAAAAGGCATGCAGGGAACATAAATTATCCATATGAATAATAAATAATATAGAACGATGGTTATTTTTCGCCACGTGAAAGACTGTATACTTCAGACCAGCCAAGCTCCTGACTGTGACTGGCAATTAATTTATTCTGGATTTCATAAAACTGCAAAAACAGTTTGCTGGTTTCAAAAATGAGTCATATTTACTGAATATTATTAGACTTTCTTCCATTATTCATATTTTTTAAAAAGCCTCAACTGATGTTTTAGCACAAAATTCAACTGTCATAGCTAAATATGCATAATTATTGCTCAATTTCTGACACTCTGCTTGACTTGATGTTTGATGCGTCTTTTTCTGTGGACTTATTTGGGTTCTGAATGAATGATTTCAGCACATTTCCTCCCTCTGTTACTGTTGTCTACTCTCTGTTTTGTTTCCAATATAGTACACTGATTCATTTACACAGATTTATTTTGGTTAATTATATAAGTTAGGATGAATCCTTCCATCAGTTTAATAATTTAGCCGTAGGGCAAGAAGGATTGTTGGTATAACGTTGGAAACAATACTCTAAAATAATTTTAAACATCTTCTTAACATCTTATTTTGACTGGATTATTCTGAGTTCACATGCAATCAGGGAGACAGCAAACCACATGTCACTTGACATGACATGTGACCAGAGCTGGGCAGCGAAATTAGGGGAGGAGAAGAGGAGAAAATACCGGCAATGACAACAGTAGATGGCATTGCCGTTCAAATTTGAGATATTCTAACTTGTTGCTGTCCTCTGTGAAGGAATTTACAACCAGATGTGACGTAGCTCCTGCACGGGCGATCTGGACAATTACTGGACATTACTAGAAAATCTACATAAAATAATAAACAGTACAATACATATCATCTGATATATTTCATTCCACTCTTTCTAAACAATATCGCAACATATCATCAAGCGTATTTCATTTTACTGTCCTGCCATTTTGCTGGACTGTTTATGTGTTTATTTTTCCTGCCAGATTCCATGTGAACACAACATTACTTTGCCTGCGTCTGGTGTGTTTTAGTTTATTCATACATAATAATTTTGTGTGATTTATATACCATAATACTTCAATTAAAAGCCTAGTCCCAATTTAACGCCCAGTCCCTTTTACTAGCCCGGTGTAGCTACACATTTTTTAAATAAAGGCCTGTCTCAATTAGAGGCCTGGTCTGGTTCCAGAGCAGTTCATTTTTATATAAGTTCTTTGGATGTATAAAACCAGGTTGTTGGCTACCCACTTGAGCTCGGTTAGATTCATTTTACTCAAACCATGAGCACTAGAGAAGACTGTATTTCATTTAGATTTACTGGCATGGTAAATAAGAGAGACGGGCAAAAACAGTGGTGACTCCCTACGTCTGAAGCTGTCAGAAAGTCAGAATATGTGTCCATTCCTCAACTTATTCATATTCCTTTGGTCTGTAAGGATCCCCTGATCGAAAGAGTCAAAAGGGTTTATCATCAAAAATAATCCTATTGTTTTAACAGGATAAAGTGGTGTCGTGTCGGTATGCCAGGGGCCGTAAAACAGAGGTAGATCAAATGAATGATTAATAATTGATATGTTATTCAAAGCCTAATTTTTATAGAAGTAACATTCATACTGGTTTAAATAAACAATTCGATTGTATTTCCTTTACTTTACTGAGCAATAGTTTTATGTGAAAGAAATTAAAGGCCTGTCCCAAATATAAGCCTGTTGACTTCAGTGATTTAAGCAAATAATAGCCTGGGCTATTAATTGAAGTATTACGGTAACCCAATTACATTAAATTGTTAAATCTTTTTCTCCTTAAGCATGGGTGCTCTGTATTAATTAATTAAAAATGTCTGGTTATCTACAGTGTAAGCACGTGGTTGTTGATGGTCATCTCCCAGTTTGAATGCACACTGGGGACATGTTAAGTTATTGGAAACCAGAAGCAAGTAGATTTTCCTGTTGGAATATTGTCCCAAAATAAAGCAAAGCAAGTCCTGAAAGAGATTATCTGCCTTGCAAACACTCAGCCTCAACATTTTTCATCTTTGTCCCTTCCTAATAGTCGACTTGTACCTTGGATGATGTTTTATTTTCCTCGTGTGAATGTGACGACAGACAGACACATTAAATCATGCATACTAACTGGTGTAACAATTGTAAAAACTGTACCTCAAAATCATCACTAAAATAGGTTCCAGTGACCACGTAGGCCTGTTTACATGAACAAACCTGCACTTTTAAGTTTTATTTAAATTATAAATATATTTCATTTTAAGAAATACTGTGCAAAAGGGCATTCATCACTACCGGTATGTTCTAGACAGTTTTAAATAAAGTAAGGGCTGCAGCCATTATCATCTGGATCACCTGATTATGCATCACCAAAGCTAAAAATGCACGGCTCGCGTACAATATATATGTATCATGTGTGACTGCAGTGTCTCTACATGAGAATAACAACTATAGATATCAGAGAAGATGGATATCTTGCTCGGTGCCGCCTTTTCATCAGGCCCATCTATCCATGGTTTATGGGAATTATAAGCTCTGATGAAAGATGCTCGGCCAGAGTAATGTGTTGTATTATTCATAATAACCCTGGCAGTTGATATAATAAGAAGACTTCATCAGTCCCTCGAGGAAATTACTCTGAGACTGTTTCGACATCTGGAGGGACTGTCATGGTGAACTAATGCAGACGACTCACTGTGTGGCCTCAATCAAAAATGCACCATCTGCCATTGGAGACACACGTCTATTATATGTGACATGCAAAGAATCTCATACAAATGATTCAATAACAAATCAGTGGGACATGCTTCTTCTATTCTCTTCCCAACAGAGACACGACTGTGTTCTTCTGTCAGTCTCAAAATCGAGATAAAATCAAACGGCTCGAGCTATTTTTCCACTAAAGTCTGATGGAAAAATAAATCAAACTTATGTACAAACATAGAGCTGTCAGTGTTTTTGTAACCTCTGAGTGTTCAGTGTTACGACAACAAAATCTGCGCTACGACCTCGACTTCTCAACATGACATTCCCTTGCTAACTGACAGCTACACCCCTACGATAAAGGCAGTGCGTCTTAAAGAGTGCACTGTTGCCTAATCTAAATGGTGTGGCCAGTGCAGCCTCAGCTATCCAAGTAATCTGGATACTACTGGATTCCAGCTGAGTTCACAGTAAACCTGATGTGTTAAACTTGCATCTTTCAAGAGAAGATGTCCTCTTTGTCAAGTTCTGGTGACGCAGGTCTAGAAACGTCAAAAAGAGGCTGCGGAGAGCCAGAGCTCAATCTCCTCGCTTTGAGGAGTTGAAGTGCTTCTGTGAGTTGAGCCTCCAGGCCGGACATACGAACGTTCAGGTTCTTGAGGTCGTCCTTCAGCTCCAGCTTGAGCTCCTGAAGCGAGGCCTGGAGTGACTGCTCTGGGATGGGGTAGAAGGGGTGCCTGGTCTCCGGAGGCTGGACAGGACTGCGGTCCTGGGGCGTCATGCGGAACTCGCCCACTTTGTCCAGGCGCAGGTCACTTTTGGTGATACCGCTGTCACATGAGTCTGTCTTCTTCAGAGACATCTGTGACTCATGCACCTTGGTCCGTTCAGGTAAAGTCTCCATGGATTCAGCTTTTGACACTTTGTTCCAGTTGTCGGCTTTGGCCATGGACTCCTTGAAGCGACCCCAGCCTTTGACTTTGACCGGTTCAGCCGCTCGGCCTCCTACAATAGAAACAGGAGCCGGCACCTGTAGCTTCGCCTTGTCTGTGGGTGTACAGTTGGGGGTTGCTGAGGATGAAGGCGTTGAAGGTGAGGGTGTTGCTGGGCTTTCTGTCACTGTGATGATGCTGGTGGTTGTGACTGCTGCTTTACCTATCATGATGTCGACGTACAAAGGGCCCTTCTCAACATCACGATCATCTAGTTCTGGCTTGTCAGTCACCAGGCGGGCTTCCTTCTGCTGTCGGAAGCGTTGGAAGAGTTTTCGTACCGGGTGATCTGGTGGCAAGTTCAGAGGGGCTTCATTCTTACGTCTCTGTCGCTCCTCTTCCTCTCGTTTCACATCACTGATCTTTCGGAACACGATCTACAAGAGAATTTAAAGTCCTCATGACTAAAAGCACAACACAAACAACAACACAAGCAGTGATACTGTAATGCCTCCTCTCAAAGTCAATCTAAGTCTCTTAAAGTGAACAAATAATATAAAACCACATAAAAATAAGTTAGATGAACAGGTGTATCTTTCTGACTGATTGTACTGTTTGTGTGATGAAGACTGTCAATGTGTCAAATGTGTGTGCATTTGTAAATGTCACCTTTGAAGAGGCTATTCCCACGATACAGAGGGAAAGATCATATCATGCCTCTGGCTTCTCCGTTAGACTTTTAACTTACCACACAGCTGCTAATGGAAAACTATGTTTTCAGCATTTGCATTAATACCCAGCAAACACTGGTCGGATGGTGACGTTGTGTCCCTCGCCAAAAAATGGTCCTGGCCAGATGCTAAAAATTGCAATGTGGTTATGAGGTGGACGGCCAGATGGTGACATTGTTTCCACGTCCATTAATGGTCCAGTCAGACCCTCTATTACAAACCAGGAAATATTAATCATATTATTGCTATGAACAATGTAAATGCTGTTTTTTTTAACATAACAACAATGCACTGACTATTTGCTTGGCTGTGACATGGTTGTGATCAGATGGCCACACTGTGACGTTCACTCCACATCGAAAGTCTACTATCATTTAATGCAAATTTGCCTTTCCCTTGGATAGCAAAGTCATGACCCACCCTACTCTCCCTCTGATTGGCTAGTACTTGCTGTGAGGATGTCTCATACCTTCGATATCCTATTAAACCCAGAGTCGCTTACTCAGCGCCCATTTTTTAAATCTGAAAAACACGTTTATGCCAGAAACCAATGAAAAAAGACGTCCTTTGACATTGGCATTATACAGGGCTGATTGCCGTAATAGTTTAACGGTGCCCGGTGGCGTCAGGGGGAAATGTGGTGGGACAAGGAGGAAAGTTAAGGCTGGGGCGGGTGGTGGATGGGTCCAACAAACACGGACACTTTCACCTGAGAGAGCAGTCTAAGATAGTAAAGCCAAACCCTGTTCTTTCTTCCTAAACCCAACCACGTGTTTTTGTTGTTTTGGAAAAAAACGTCAATTCTGTGAAAACAGAGGTGTATTTTGAAAGAAGACAATGCATGTAACAGGCAGAACTTGACACGGTGTCCCAAAACATCAACAACCAAGGCACCAAGGGTACGTTTCACGTGGAAAGTCCATGACCAAACGTTGATATGTGACGAGGTCGGAGTGAGAATGTATTGTCAAAACCAACACATACAGAGGAAGCTGATGTGGATAAATGCGTCAAGCTCAAGACTCTGACCCAGGTGACCGGTGTTCAAGTCACGTTACACATAACGTTGTGGACTTCGGCACAGCTGTCAATTTGGAACTCTTTCTGAACCATAATGAGACGTCTTGATTCGACATTGAAACAACAGTCATTCAACATCTCAATGTTTGCTTGGTAGTTGTAGCTTTGCAGTTTTCTTTCTGTACTTTGGATTGATGTCTGAAACTTGGTCTTGTCTCTTAAAAAATGACCCAAAATCATCAATTAAAGGCTAAATAAAAGTCACATTCTATAGTTAAATGTTCTGGGGTAGTTTTTGTCCCTTTTTTAGCATTTAACAACTACATCTCTCATGTATAATGTAATGAGTCTTAAGTGCAACACATACCGCCGCCATACACCGGGTGTCAAAATGCCCGCCTCCATTATACTCTATGAATAAACCTGCGCCGGCCGACACGCTGCGCCGCTCTGCTTCAGCCCACTGCTCTATTTCCAGTGCGGCCGGCGCTGCGAGAAAAGCCTTTCATGTACGTCTCGGCCACACTTTAGTGTCGACGGTGCCGCTGCATGCCGCTGCCAATGTGTGTTGGAGGGCGGCACTTGACGGCCACAGCACTGTGCCAGCGGCAGTATGTGTTGCACTTTAGCCACAGGCATGCTTTCAAAAAACCTCACAGAAGCTGTAGTTGCTGAATGCAAAAGAAATGACTGCTATGCATGACAGTTAATTCTTGATCTTGGAAACACCAGGCCAACAAAACAATCACAACTCAAGGTTCACTTACTAGATTTTTGCAGAGCTTTTCACAGTATCACATGGGCTTCAAGATTGTGTGACAGTATTGTAGTACCTGAGATCAGTCTTCATCTTGAGACTGGTTTGGAGACCACTTCTAGAAGGTCTCATCTCAGATTAGACTGCATTTTTACTCAGTCTTGTATCGTTGTCAGACAAAGGGGACTTGGGATTTTATTTCACGACCGGTCAAGACTACAGCTGATTAATTTATCAAGATATTTCTCCTGGTACAATGATACGTACACATATAGATACAGAATATGGCAGTGAAAGAAGTGAATGAAGAGAAATCTTTTGTTTTTTTATGGGAATGTTTTAGATAGAGGTTTGTTTTTTATTTTATCCTAAGTGTGTCATGATGTGTTGGACTCGCACCAGTCTGGTCTTGGTCTTGTCTCGCTCTCAGTACAATCTGATCTTGGTCATAACTTGGTCTCAATTTTGCCAACAACACTGCTGTGTGTTTCGTAAATGAAAACCAAATCGAGAAATCCTTAAAGTGTTATGAATGAAATCTCTACGATGGCTGAGTGATACGGTTGAAAGCTCTGGAAAAAGCTATTAAGTTTCAGCTCCTGGAAACTGTATTCATCAGAAGAGTCAAGGATTTAAATAATAAACTGACGTGGTGTTCATGTCTTTAAAAGCGGAAGTTTTCCAGAAGCTCCAATTTTTGTCATCGGCTCTTCTCGTGTTTATTGCCACAGTGAAATCATCCATAATCTTTGAAAGGACAAGACAACATCCATTTTCCTCCTCAGTCTCACAGCAACACTGCTCTCACAACTTGAGCCACTTGAATGTCGAACATATCATGTGCCAGATTTCCCAAGTCGGAAACACATCCTCACAAGCTCCATTTGAAGGCACCATTTGGCTCCTTATTCACCCCATCTCTGGATTTCCCTGCTGTATACATTCAGAAAGTATGGGACCCTGGTGAATAGTGAGTTTAATGCAGCAGATGAGATTGCCTCTTCATATGCAAGCAATTCAATCTCGCTTGCACTCTCTTGGGCAGGCTAACCTTATTATGAATGAGGTAATGATTGGTAGCCACACTTGAGTTGTTGATCACAGCTGTTCATTTCTGAATGAAGGACACAAGAGTGGCTTTAATATATGGCGGCTGTTTAATGGAACTGTGTTTCTGTATGACATATTGTTGTAGCCTTGAGCTTGACCCCAGTTAGACACTTTTATTTTTTTGTTTTTAAATCTAGCAAATATGCATTTTCTAAAGGAATCGTGTGTTTAATGTTTCAGGTAGCAGACACATTTTGGGAAATACACTTGTTTGATTTTTTGCTAAAAGTTAGATGAAAAGATCGGGTCCATGTCATTGGTTCGACAGCCCATTGGTTCGACATCCCATTAGTCCGACTGTCCGCGGGCGTATGGTGCGCCGCGACAGGCTTGAGGCAGAGCAGGCTCACGGCTTATGTGTTTGTCACTTTCTTTTTCATTTTAACCCACACCATGATCTTTTCCTGACCCTAACCAAGTGGTTTTTGTGCCTAAACCTAACCAGACCTTAACCACAGGGCATCATGATGATTTCGGAACGGACTTAGGAACAATGAGTTTAATATGGTCGGAACAATGGGATGTCGAACCAATGGGCTGTCGAACCAATGGGCAGTTCCCAAAAGATCAATGCCACTCTCGTATCATCTGTTAGCTACAGCCAGGAGACAGTTAGCTTACCGGTATGATGAAGTGTGGATTTTTGTACCTTGAGGCTTTGTTGACATGTGTAGCCTATATTTTTGGAAACGTAAATTTTTCCCCTTCTTTAAAAAAAAACAAAAACGAAACAACTCCATCCACACAACCTCTGTTGTAAAAATTATTAGGGCTGTAGTCAACCAAAGAAAATCTTGGTTGACTAAAGTCGCACATAATCTTCAACTAATCGATTAGTCATGGGGGAAAAAAATCTGCACGTTATTTTTACTTCGGCAGTGGTGTGTCTGTCACTCTGCAATTACACCTCCAAAACACTAGTCGCCGGTGGAGGACTGTGTTAAGTGCTGTAAAGTTTAGTTCAAATCAAACTTTATTTATATAGTTGATTCAAAACACACATTAAACATGGCTTAATAGAGACAATTTCAAACACAAGTATGCAAATCAGCTTCACTATAAATCACAGAACTGACAAACACTTGTCTTTATCTGGACACATTTCCCCCACCAATACAACATGCTAACGTTATTAGCACAACCCTATGGCATTGTACATTGTATAAATTAGCCTAGCGTCTAGCAATCTTTTCTTCTTCTCATATGAAACCAGGGACAACAGCAACATTTAACAAAGGTAACGGCACTCCATGTGGCTCCATTACAACTCACAACGTTCACCGACACAACAACTGTCTTATACTAAACATGTTTTCCAAACAAATACAACATGCTAACGTTATTAGCTCCAGCCTATGGCATTTTACACTGTACAAATTAGCCTAGCGACGAGCGGAGATTTCCTCTGCTCATGTGAAGCCAGGATAAATCCCGAAATATAAATCCCTGAAGGACAGATCACACACAAGACTTTAAATGCTATTTTAGTGGAGGCTTTACTGACTGTTTTGAAAACACCCCCATTTTCACAGGTAACTTAGCCTGTCCCCCCGCCGCAGGAAATAATGGATTAATCCTGGAAAGCTATTGATGTAGCACTTTTCTCCTTATGAAATTAACAAGGTGATTATTCGACTAATGAGAATTAAGTCGGATGAGAGCATAGCGACCAAATAATTGACTAGTCAACCAGGAGACTACAGCCCTAAAAAATATCTCTGTCCACACTAGAACACAAAAACAACCCCAAATGTTTACTGGCATTTGCTGCTTTCAGCAGCCTCCTATTGTCATAAAGTTCGTAAACTGTACAGTCTAACATTACCTTTTTCAACACTTACTGGACTTATATGGATTAAGGAGCTCACGCAAACATTCCAGTCAAGTTCTAGACATGCTAACAATGTCCTTACATTCCACATCTCTCACTTAATCTCACTCTCAAAAGTGTCCCACCATCTGCTGGCTTGACTGGGCCTGATCCAAAACTGCCATTTCTTGCAGACATTAAACCATGGCTGCTAAGGTGGAGCAAAAACATTGCCTGTTCATTACACAAAGGCTGAATCCAAATGTCCAGACTTCACCGCACTTTAAGACTCGCGCACTTTGCAGGCGCGCTCCCGGGAAGTCTGGGAGTGCTTAGGGCTGTCCAAATCCACAATTCAACCAGTCCATAAGGGGCCTCAAGTGGACTTTCTGCAGACATCCAGAGAGTCCACTTGGGGTGCAGACTTCAGCAGACTACACTGATTTAATAACCCATAATTTATTGCAATAGTTATTGATAGTTAGGCCTAAAACTTTCCATGGCAACGAGTAAAACAGTCTCGAGGGCTGTCTATCAGCCGCTTGCAGTCTCTGCCCTCCCAGACTTTACGTGATGACAGTAAATACATCACTATGTACAACTGAAGTCTGCGAGGGCTCAGTCCGCAAGTCCAGAAAGTGGAAATTTGGATTCAGCCAAAGTAACAATAGGCATGCACAAATTGAAGAGATGACACCAGTGTTTCCTAAACAGTCCGTTTTACATGAAAAGACTCAAACTGTTACTCAAGTGTTGAAAAATCTGCACCTTAGAAGAGTTTTTAAAAAATCTTTGCTTTAGTGAGTTAGAACTTCATTTGCATGTCGATGAGACGCCAGAACATATCAGAGCCAGGCCAGCTGTTTCCCCCTGCTTTCAGGCTTTGTGCTCCAAACAGTCTCCTGGCTGTAGCTTCATAATTAACTGACAAACACAAGAGCAGTTATCAACTGTTTTATCTAACTCTCAGCATGTACATGTACACAACAGAGCGTATTTCCCAAAATGTCAAACTATTCCTTTAACATGAGCAGCGACAGCCACTGTGGCTAAACAGAGAGAGAAAAGCTTTACCCTTAGCAACAGTAGAAAGAAAAGCCGTCATTGTACTCGCCCACACGTATTACTATGTGACCTATGGGAAAACAACCAAAACATCAGAGCAATTATGACTCGTCACGAAAAATAAAAACACAGTGCAGGATGTCCACTTGAAGTTCAAGCTCTCATTAAAAATAATGGTCTGACTAGACGAGGACTAACAGGTCAAAAGGAGTTGAAAATCCATTTAACTTTTTTTTGTTTTAGAGGGAGAGAAACACAATATTTTTACCTGCTCTCTGTAGAGGCTGTTTCCTCGCCATTTACATATATATATAGTGTAAAGAGAGCTGACTCATTTTAAATTGTTTACATGAACAAACCTGCTCTTTGACGTTTGATTATACATTTCATTGTGAGAGATACTTTGCAAAAGGGCATCCATCACTATGTTCATCACTGATTTTAAAATAAGGTAAGGGGTACAGTCATTATCATCTCAGGCTGTTCTCATGCACTCTTCGTACCGACGAAAAGTAACGCACCAGAATTTGTATATGTCATCAGGAAGGCTGCGAACACGCGCCGATGGGGGTAAAAAAGGAAGTCGTATAACAAGCAAAACTCCATGTTAAGGAGCAAGGTTGGGTGGGTCAAACAAACACAGGACTTTTCCCCAGGAGACCAGTGTTCAGGTTCCGTGTGAAACCAAAGCCCTGTTTCCACAAATCAGTACGGTACGTTTCAGTATGCTTTTCTTTGCGTTTCCACTGTGAAAAGTTGTGGATGGTACTAATGGAACCCATTTTTGGTGCTGTGAACACTGCAGTCTGATTGGTCAGTAGAGGACGGTCACTCTGCTCAGGGCTGAGTTGTGTCTGGTTTTGAGGCTCATGTAACCACTGTTCATACTGTGGATAGTTTTATTAGTAAACTGTAACTATAAAATGAAAGGATGTTTTGCTGCCTCTCACAGCAGCTGGAGTCTGAGAAAAATAATTCACTGGACCGTCTGCCGGCAACTTTTAAAGTGGAACCTTTAGTTATAATGTTACTAAATGCATGAGTTGACAACATGAATCCATCAGCACACCTTAAAGTTCAATATGACAACTTTGACCATTCAGTTAGTCTTTTTGTTGTCTCTCTTGGATGACACACACTTTTAGTAATGAGTGGATCTTTAAGCATTTAAAAATATATATTAATTTGGAGCCTCGTTCTTGTGGGCTCTGGCAACACTAAACCCCTGAGCTTGCCTGATATTTTTAAATATCCCATGGAGAGAGACTCTCACTGCAGCCTGTTTTATTTTGTTCTGAAAATGTCGGCGTGCCTTGTTCTGTGGACGATAAACGAGGTGCAGACTAATAAAGAAGGAAATACAGTGAGTGCTGGACTAAGCAGTGAGTGATAACAACTCCGCTCACATGAAAGATTACTGTTTGCGGTGGAAACTCTAGGGTCTAGGTACAATATCTCAAAGGTTACTTTTGGTTCAAAAGGTACTATACCAAAAGTCTGGTGGAACGGGGCTCAAGTGAACTTTAAGTTATTTAAATGCATTGTCGTCGTGTTTCTTTTCCTAAACCTAACCTACGTAATCTGCATAAAGTTCTGAACTTAACGTTAGGTATGTATCGTGACAACACCCAACCATGTTTCTTTTCCCAAATCTCACCTATGTAACCTTTACTTTCTTAAACCCAACTTACCTGACTTTACGTTAAGTATGTAATTTTATATTTAGTCTGTAACATGATGATGCCAAACCTGTTTTTTCCTAAACCTAACCTGCGTAACTTTATGTTTAGTACATAATGTGATGACGTCCAACCATGTTTCTTTTCCTAAATCTAACCTGCATAACTTTACTTTTCGAAACCTAACTTGCATAACTTTAAGTTTAGTATGTAAATTGACGATATCCAACCATGTTTCTAACCTTAGTAACTTTACTTTCCTAAACCTAACCTACATAACCCTACATTTAGTACGTAACATGATGATGCCCAACCATGTTTCTTTTCTAAAACCTAACCTATGTACCTTTACTTTCCTAAACCCAACTTACCTAACTTTACCTTCACTATATAACTTTATGTGTAGTACGTAATATGGCGATGCGCAACCATGTTCCTTTTCCCAAACCTAACCTACGTTACTAAACCTAAATTAGGTAACTTTACTTTAAGTACGTAGTGTTCTGATGCCATTCATGGGGTGCTAATTCACTGGATAGAGGCTATGAACTGCTGTATATGTATTTTAGTAAGATATCAATCAAACTGTCATGTGATGCCTGATTATGCATCAACAAAGCTAAAGCTAAGCGTCTCTCACACAATAAATACTGTATGTACTGTGTAGAGTTTCTATTTGGGAATAACAAATACTAAGTATCAGTAAAGATGGATGTCTTGCTCACTGTTGCCTTTTCATCAGGTCCATCTATCCATGGTTTATGGGAATTATAAGCTCTGATGAAAGATGTCTTTGAAAGTCTGATTGCTGGGCCAGAGTAATCTGTTGTATTATTCATAATAACCCTGACAGTTGATATAATAAGAAGACTTCATCAGTCCCTCGAGGAAATTACTCTGAGACTGTTGCAACATCTGGAAAGACCGTCATGGTGAAATAATGCAGACGACTCGCTGTGTGGCCTCAATCAAAAATGCACCATCTGCCATTGGAGACATATGCGTCTATTATATGTGACATGCAAAGAATCTCTTAAAAATGATTCAATAACAAATCAGTGGGACATGCTGCTTCTATTCTCTTCCCAACACAACTGTGTTCTTCTGCTGTCAGTCTCAAAATCGAGATAAAAATCAAACAGCTCGAGCTATTCTTCCACTATAGCGTGATGGAAAAATGAATCTAACTTACGTACAAACATAGAGCTGTCAGTGTTTTTGTAACTTCTGAGTTTTCAGTTTGAACTAATGTCTTTTATTTAACATTCTACACAAGTACAGTCTTCAGACATTAAAAGTGCCATGTAAAATCCAAGTCTGAACTGAGTCGACTATAACTCCTTCTTTCTTGTTGCTATTTGAAGAGTCACTCACCCTCTTTCGCAGGTTGTAAGTGAGCAGCAGGTTTCTTGAGAAGTGGTTGGAAAACGCTGTGTAGAACTCCAGCACCTTCTGCAGGGCGTCGCGCTTGATGACGTGGAGGTCGCAGTAGGTCAGAGCTCGGACGTTGGCGCAGGCTTGAGCGAGAGTCACCTCCTTCCAGAAAACATCCCCAAATACGTCACCTTTACCTGCAGAGAGAGGACACACAGTTTAAACCAGGAATGAATCCTAAAACCTGGAAATTTTTGCACTCCTTGTCCCCTTGTCTTGAAGTCAATGGGGTTTTTTAAATCACTTTATTTGTATTTATTTGTATTGTTTTAACACAAAACAGAATACAAACAAATAAATCTGGAAAAGCTGCAGGCCATGTGGACCAAAATATATTAACTTATTTCCAGGAAATTATTGTTATAAGGTTCACACTACACAACGTTTTTGTCCACTCTGAGAGTCACTATGTCAGATTAGACGATTGTGGGGTCATATTTCACAACATGCATGATGTCATCAGGTTATTCTTGTCCTATTTTTATTATTATTACTATTATTTCAGTCACTGTGTCTGTTCATACGCCAGCCGAAATGTTGCTGTAGTAACGTATAAAGTGCCACCAGATGGGCAGAGCTACATTTGAAGTACCTTACGCAAACATGCAAGTCACTGAATCCTCCACAACTAGTTCCTGCAAATGTTTCACAATAAAAGCCTTTTTAGAAAATAAAGGGATTCTCTCAACTGAGGTTATAAGGGGCTTTTAATTTGAAACAGATACAGGAGGTGTTTGAAATGACAGCGTAATGCGTTAACTTTATCAAGGCAAACGGGAGCGAATTAAATATAGAAATAGAAAATTACCGTACAGTTGTCTATGGCAGCAGATCACTCTGCGTTGCTATTGGTCAAACTGTGACGGGAGGAGTCGTGAACGACAAAAACAAAATCAATCATGCTAGACTTTCTGACAGGAAATCATGAGGCGTCCCAGATGTAGCGTCGGCTATCGTCTACCATGACACACTACACGAGATGATTATTGGGGGATGGGACGACTGTGGCTCAGAGATAGAGCGGGTCATCCACCAATGGGAAGATCAGTGGTTCGATCCCTGGCTCCTCTAGTCTGCATGTCGAAGTATCCTTGAGCAAGATACTGAACCCCAAAATGCTCGCCATAGACCCATTATTGCGTACGACACTCACTGTCATTCATGATCTGAGCCAAAACCGTACGATGCTGCGTCAAGCTCCAATCGGGCTGATATCATGTAATGTGAACTCGGCATAAGAGGACTTCCTGATGAATTAAAAGAGCTTGCTAGAAAGAAAAAACCCGTTAAAGGAAGTGTTTTTTTTTTTATATTTACAACCTGGTGACCTGAAAGTTAGCTTACAACAGACTTATAAACCACTACCATTATATACTAACTATCATAAAAGCTATTAATTATAGCTTTTAAACTAAGACAAAAGCCTATTACATAATTTAAGACACCTAAGTATTTATAAGTGCTCAACATGCCGTCATTTGTGAAGCCCAGTCAGAGCTGACCAAGCCAGTGACTCAGGTAGAGAAAGCACTATTTAAAGTTTGAAAGGCTCAATGTGACCATAATAGCTATATGACCCATGACGTGTTGTGACTCAATGGAATCAACATCTAAGTCAGCAGCTGCTCACACACACTGTGACTGCAGAAAATATTCAGGTGTTTAATTTTACACGACTGAAAACATCTGACTACTTCTTTGAACCACAGGATGAAAAGCTGTGTACAATGCAGCCTGTAAAAACGATCAAGTTGCAAATCCAGATGAGTTTAAGTGATTACTAACATGTACTGTAGAGCTCCTGTTTGTCAGCAGTCTGAGGGATGAGAAGTCAAAGAGAACCAGTCGAGGATTAAATTCGACTGTCCGTCTTGCTTGTGCACTTTACATGTTGTTTCGGCTTTACGGTGCCATTAGGCTAATGAGAATCTGATTCATAGTAGTAACTTGTTTATCACTTCAGGCTCTGTTACAGTCTCCACCCGGGTCAATGGTATTAGCCTGACAGCATATTGATTGCTCCAAAAGGATCCAATAGCAGTTTATTGATGAAAACCAGCCAAGATGGTGTCACAGGACCCGCCAGAGCAAGCCATCCATTATTCACAAGATCAATTATTTGGCAAATTAAAATTAAGTTTTAAAAGGGAAATAACTCTGCAGGGATTTAAACAGAAATAAGAATGATTCTTTTTTTCGGTATATTGATGAATAAAAATTTAGCCTCCACTGTTAGATCGCATCAAGGTGCAAAAGAAGAGGAACTGGGATCATAAATATCAGAAATTTCAAAGCAGTTGGCAATTAGTCTGGTTATATCCTTATGGATTAGGTGTGGGTTACTACAGTTTAGAGTACTTCACAGAGGCGGGCAGCGTCCAAATTATACTCAGGGTCTCATTTTATTGCCACAGGGCTCCAGTCTGTGTGTCAATATGCTGAATATCCAGACGTATTCATTATGTGACTGAGAGGATTCTGTGACAAACAAAATCTTGTCCAAATTCAAATCCCCAAACATCTGTTTTCACTGCAGTCCGAAACACTTTGAGAAGTAAAAAAAAAGAGCATTTTAATTCACAAAAACATGTTACTATGATGCAAAACCGTTTTGTGAGAGTAGTGCCGGAGGCCAGTTTGACTGAGATGTTTTTCCACCTTCATCACTGCTTTTTCGGCATTAATGTGTTTCTAAGATAACAAATTAAGACAGCAGCAAAATACTGCAGCAGCACATCTGCATCTTAGATCTTCGCCTCTCTGTCACTTTCTTTTCTAAAGCTGCATAAAATGTGAAAATCTGAAAACTTGAGCAGATCTGGGGCAGGTCCGTCGACAGTTGGGGGAACAGCAAGTCTTGACCGACTCTTTCATGAAATAAACATCAGTGTTGAATTCTATTATTAATTTTGTCAAATTGCTCAGTGTAGTTTGGTGCAAAGACACGAATCAGGGTTTGTTCACTCACCTAAAATGGCCACCACCTCGTCATCCTGAATGACCTCCAGTGATCCCGACACCACAAAGCAGAGGCTGTCCACACTTTCGCCAGCGTGGTAGATCAGGTCGCCAGGGGCGCAGTGGATGGTCTGAAACTCCATTGCCAGTGCTCTGAGACACCCGTCGCTGGCCAGCCGGAAAGCAGGGTGCTCTTTGAACACCTTCCGGTTGAGATGGACACAAATATCTGCTCTCATATCCTTCGGACAAATCTGCAACACCTAAAAGAAACAAGAGTAGAGAGAAGAGCTGCATGATTCGTTTTTCATATTATACTTTAGAGGTGGTGGACAGTCTTCAGCTGATCAGACGTCACATTAGATCAGCTTAGAGTAACATACTGTTGCCATGATTTGACTGTAAATCATGGCAGTATAGAGAGACAACGACAATTATAGCTTTCTGTTTTTCACAATATGTGACGTACGTGATTGGTTAGCTGCCAAGGACCAACTTCACCATAGGGCTGGGCACTATGGCCAGAAATGTCTTGTTTCGAGTTTAAAGAGTTTAAAGTTTTTTACACCTTTACTGTACATTAAGTGGGTTTAAACTATTATTTATTGTGCGAACATGACAAACGCTTGCCACCAGCGGAGCATTTTACAAATCTGAGGTAGATTTAAAATAACTGTTACAGCCGATCACTGTTAACAAGTAGAACACAGAAACAAGTTACCTACATAAAACTGTATCTAAACAGTTCAAGAGGTTTTCAAGAGGACAGTCGTGGGGGGGGGGGGGGGGGGGGGGGGGGGGGGGGGTGTACAAACACACAGGCTAATTACCCAGCACTGCCGTAGGTCTCAGAGGCATTGCACCAGGTTGTGATCTGACCTACCCAGAGGGGGGAGGGGGGGGGGGGGGGGGGGGGGGTGTGCATTTGGGTAATTTTTTCTTTTTTCTCTTTCTTGTATTATTATTATCATTATTATTTTTTTCTTTGTCTCGTGTTGCTGTACAGGAAAATTGAAATACTGAAAGAATATGAAATGGAATCAAAGACATCTAAATTACAATAACATACTTTAAAATTCAAACCTGTACTGTAACTGTTGTTGTGATCTATTTCTATATATCACTAGTTTGTTATTCTGATGTATCACTGGGCGACGCAACTATTCACATAATTTCTCAATTAAAAAAAAGAGAGAAATGTCATCAATACATGAGCTTCGTATTGAGTAAGATTCATGAAATGATACTAAAGTATGACCAAAAAAGAAAAAGAAATTGTCCACCCTAATGAACCCTGCATTCCCTGACGCAGAGACCAAACAATTCAAATCCTGGAGTAATTACCAGAGGGTAAATTGTTACAAGTTCATTGACATTAAATATAACCTTCATCCATTCTTTGGTTTCCTTGTCAACAGTGGTGAACAGAAAAGCGCCCTGTGCTCCTGTTGATTAACGTCATAAAAGTTGTCAAATTTGTCAAGAGAATGTTAAACAGGTCAGACATGCTCGTCTTTTATGCATGGATGTATTGAACCGCTGTGGTGTCATGGAAGCAGTGATGAATGAAGTACCTAAAATCCATGGAAGCCTGAAAGAGGCGTACGCCACTGCCCACGTAGAAGTTGTGATCTATAAAAACAGACTTAATGGGAAAAATTTTGACCCATGCTTACGAACATTTTGGAGATGCAAAATTAGCAGGAAGGATGACTGTAGGAACTGTTGAGTATTTTTTGACACACGCCATTTTTGGCTTTGTCTGTACATTCATTTTTAGTATGGATCCTACGCACTGTTTTATAAAAGAGATTCCTGGTGTCAACGTGTGTTTCAGTGATCTGAACATAAACTGATTGCTGTTCACATCTGTGAACATCATACATCGCCAGCTGACCACTCGTGTTCAGATTTCATTACTCCCCTGTGCACAGTTATTACATCCAAACTATTGCTAGCTGCTCTGTAGCATGCTTGCTAGGCATGATAGCAGTTGTGTTGGTACAGCTGGAGATATTGCTGTCTGCAGAATTCAACATGTCTCCTTCCATAGGGCAAAACGATGGATGTTCACATAACACCTCGTCTAACTCTACATAAATTGTTAAGTTATAGAGCATTAGCACACTGTCACCAAAACAACCACCGCGTCCTACACTGATGACGTAGTCCTTGTCAGGGACGCATCAGGACACATTCTTAAGCGCTATATCGTAGGCAACTGGACTTGCTTGAGTTTCTTGAAGACGTTGTGCCTCTCATTCAAGAGGCTTCTCCAGTTCTAACAGACTGGTGCAGAGTTGTAGCCTCTGAACTCTGCCTACAATATAGCACTTAAGATTAACATGACCTGGATGACTGAGAATCTTCACCAACATCAGGACGCACTAGTCTTTACACCACAAAACAAATGTGTCCCAGACCACTTCGGTAAGTGCATTGAGTGATCGGATCTCAATGTGCCTTGGTGGTCGTTTACACTTGTTTTTAGCGCTGTCCAGTTGTGATCGGATCACCCGAAATGCATGTTGATACCAGGTCTAAACAGGCTTAATATTTCGGCACTTGTTATTGTGTATGATTTTGAAAGTTCTAAACAAATGTGCTCTAAAGTCTCCAATTAATTTTCCACAGTATCTGCCTCCAAGTCTTTGTGAAGTTATTGTTCTCAAAGAAAAAAAAAGAGTTAACTGTCACTAAAAGACTTGGGTGTATTTTTATACAACAAGAAACAGTTGAAGCTTCTTTCTTTTTCATTAGCTTTGAAAAATACCTCACTCAGAGCTGATTATCTATGGGTTGGGACTGAATATGTCCAGTATAAATTATGTTTGATCATTAAATTTCATAAGAAGATCAGATATGAAGCTGCCTCTCTGCAGTGTGTCACTGAGTGGCAGTATGTTGTTCAAGTACACCTAATCAACAGGATGCCAGGCCGTCGCAGGGCTCTGCCTTTAAAACAAATCTCTTTGAAGATGAATGTCAAGCAGAGAGGGATTATATGCCATTTTAGACCCTTTAGGGTGGCCTGAGGCCAGACAGATAAATAATACATCGATGTACTGCTAGCTTAACATAAAAAGGACACAATAAGTATCACAGTTTGATTTTGAATACAGATTCCCTCGTGACAAAACCCCTGCTTTATTAGAAGTTATGTTTCTAATTTGCTGTGAAATAATAAAACTTTTTCCATGATTGGATTTTGGACAGGTGGATTTAAATGGGACGCAGCGATATGAATGCTTTCTGGCTTCGAATCAATCAGGCAGCACTGGTTCAATCTATCCGCTGCCAGCTTTAAATGCTTAATTTCCACACGCTCAAATCATTTCAGCATCATCTCAATTCAGCAGGATGGCTGCTGGTAACTGTGCCATAAACGCCATAACACTGTCTGCTTTAGATAATAGGCTGCTACATTTTGCCACAGAATAACCTGACAGTTTCTACAAAACAAATTAACAATGAAAAATGGCTGTTTTATACAGAGATGTTCAGGGAGCATCAACGGCATGGGGTTGTTCTTCAGCCAACAACAAAACATTATGTGAACTCTACAATATACAATGCAGAATTCTTTTTATATAGTATTCATATCACACAAATGATGCTACATCTGATATCTTACTATATAATGATGACTCTGTCTGTCTGTGTGTCTGTTCCACGTTTTTCTCCTCACTGACTTGGTCAATCCATGTGAAATTTGGCACAGTGGTAGAGGGTCATGGGAGGATGCGAATGAAGCAATATTACATCAATTGGCCAAAGGGGGGCGCTATAGCAACCGACTGAAATTGCGAACTTTGAACGGGCATATCTCATGCCCCGTATGTCGTAGAGACATGAAACTTTGCACAGAGATGCCTCTCCTCACGAGGAACAAATTTGCATCAAGAACCCATAACTTCCGGTTATATAGATTTTCCGCCATTTTGAATTTTTTTGAAAAACACTTCAAATGGATCTCTTCCTAGGAAGTTTGAGCGATCTGCATGAAACTGGGTGAACATAATCTAGGGACCAATATCTAAAGTTCCCTCTTGGCAAAAGTTGGAAAACTTACTAAAACTGAGCTTCTATAAGGCAATGAATATTGCGGAGGGCGTGGCTCATCACATAAAGGTGTATAACATCTCAAGGGTTTCACCCATCACCACGCAACTTTGTAGGCATATGACCACACATAATCTGAGGGGACCCCTCCATTATTGACCCCATCAAACAAAATGGGGGCGCTAGAGAGCTAATTTCTTATCTAGGCCTAACCGCCATATGGATTTTTACTAAACTTGGTAGATATGTAGAACAGGACGCCTCAAGGTGACTGGAGAAATTTAACTCTAATTGGCAACTGGGTGGCGCTATAACAACAGAAAAATGCTTAAAAATGGCTAAAATGCGACTGATCGCTGTGGCTCCCCCTGTGGACCAATGTTGGGGTTAGTGTTGCACAGTATACCGGTACTAAAATAGTACCACGGTACTATAGTATTCCAAACGGTACTATAATGCATTTGGAAAATACCGGTACTTTGAAATTGATTCAATTCATTAATTTAGTTCATTTATTTTACTCATTTATGCACACAAACGCCTTTCTTGTTCCTATTGGAGCACAGATTGCACAAGTGCTGTGTATGACAACACCTGTATCAACATTCACAGCTGGCGCACGTGAAAAAAGACAAGAGAAAGTCTGCCTCGCAAAGGGAGACAACACGAGACAACACAAACTTGGTGGAACATTTGAGTTACCAAACCATGATGTCCGTACCGAGGTACTTACCGAACCATGACTTTTTTGGTACCGTTACACCCCTACTATTAATTGTTCTAAAGGTTTGTATCCAAAAGAACTTTTCCTTAGGAAAAGTACTGAAGAGTATTGAAAAGTATCGAAATTCATATTGGTATTGGTACCAAAACAAAGATTTTGGTATCGTGACAACACTAGTTGGGGTTTTATTTCTTCTAATTTTTGGTATGACTAAGTCATGGTATGGTATGCTGTACATAATCACGGAAACTGTCAGTCAGTCATTCTGTCTGTCCCACGTTTTTCTACTCACTGACGTGGTCAATCTATGTGAAACTGCACATAGGCATTGAGGACTGGCATAGGTAGAAGGTGACAAAGCTACCAATGGGTATGGACTAGTTTTTAACAATACTGCAATTAACACATTATGTCAAAATCATGCTTTCCATAATAATGGTAATCTTAAGGAGGATTAAAAATACCAGGGTAACTAGGAAATTACATTTAATCATGTGCTATAAGAAAGCCATTAAAGACAACGCAATCTAACTTACCTTTTCAGTGTCTATACCCCGAGACATGGACCATGTGGAGGCAATGTAATCCATAACTCTTTCACTCAAGCCCTTGGGCACCTGGTAGAGCTTGAGGAAGTCCCGGACGCTGTTAATCATCTCATGGTAACGATTGGTGTTGGCGTACATCTGCTGGAAGATTGTCGTCACGTTACCGAAGATGGTGGCGTAAAGAAGGGCTGGGGACTTACAGAGAAGAAAAGACACGTTTAATTTTAATTTTAATACTACCAAAGTTTTTAGCTGCTTGTGAGGAGTTGACTTCATGAGGAAAACTAAATTGTGTGCTAAAAAAGAATTTATAAAATAAATTTGGTAAAATGCAAATCGCAGCATTGCTCAGCCGTTTATACATCTGACTGGAGTGTTTGGTTCACCACCACTTCACTTCTGTTTTTTCAACTATTTGTGTCTTGAATCATCCTGTGGGTTTTCAAAGATTTACACAGAGGCTTATGAACCCAGGGTCACATAATACTGCATAACATTTTGAGATTAAACATGGGAAAAAAAATCGATACAGCATAGTATCACAATATCATGCGTGGCAAATTTGTATCAATACACGGACATCAAGTACCAATGTTTTATTGTATACATTATTAATTTTTGCAGATACACATTTTAAAACAACTTTTGGCAATAGAATAATAAAATGAAGTGCTTTCTCAGTCCATGAGATGGTACTGATGTTTCTTTTTCCTGGTGAGGTTAGCAGAGGTTTCAGTCAGCGGCATTTGGCAGGATGTTCATCAAAACAAAGGAAATCAGAAATGTGCCGCTGGCATTTAAATCAAACATCTGGACTTATTTTGGATTTTTTAACACAGAAGGAAAGAAGGACTTCAGTATGACACATGCCATTTGCAAGAAGTGTCATATGAGAATACGCTGGGAATACTATGAACATGAGGGCTCACCTCACACTCCACCATCCAGAGATAGCGTTAGTCGCTGATGGCCAAGCTAACACTTAACCTGCCTTGCCAAAAATCAACCAACACTGGACACACTAACCTCGACAAAACTACCACCCAACTCTGAGAGAGCTAAGAAAACAACACAGTCCATCAGCTACTTTATGTGCAAAGATCTGCGTCCATACAGCACTGTTGAAATTGAAGGCTTTTGTAACACCCTAAAAACACTGGAACCCAGGTATGTGACTCCTTCTTGATGTTATTGTTTTTTGTACCAACACAGCCGTACCCAAGCTCGACAGAGAAGTGAATCATAAAGTTGAGGAATCTTTGAGTACAGACAAAACAGATTTGAACAGACTGAAAACTTTATCTTATAAGGTAAAACTGCAGTTGGAAAAAAAGGTAATAAATATATGGCAAATTATTTTACCGCAATACTCAGCATATTGCAATTTTGCAAAAATATCGTATCATTACCTGATTATTGAGATAATATCTGGTAATCCAAATCCCAGATAGTCTACAAATTAGGTTTTACGAGCTCAAAAAAGTCAACAAAACATGGTTTAAAAACATTTCAAATATCTGGTTTACAAGGACATAAAAATCTCAAATATTGGTTTATAAGTACACTAAAACCTCAAATACCTGGTTTACAAGGTCAAAAAACTTTCCATTGTTGGGTTTAAAAAGCTCAAATAAATCTCCAAAAAGGGTTTTAAAAGAAAATTGTGTTTATAAGGACATGAAAAATCTCCCAAAAGTGGTTTATGAGGACATATAAATTCCACATACCTGGTTTACAGGGACATACAAATATCAAATACCTAGTTTACAAGGACAGAAAACTTTCCATTGTTGGGTTGGAAAAGATTAAATAAATCTCCAAAATGGGTTTTATAAGAACATAAAATTCTCCAAATTGTGTTTATGAGGACATGAAAAATCTCCCAAAACTGGTTTATGGGGACATATAAATCTCAAATACCTGGTTTACAATGACATAAAACCTTCCATTATTGGGTTTAAAAAGCTAAAATAAATCTCTAAAACAGGTTTTATAAGGACAAAAAAAATCTCAAAATTGTGTCTATAAGGACATAAAAATCTCAAATACCAGGACATAAAGCTTTCCATTGTTGGGTTTAAAAACATAAAAAACAACAACAAAAAAATCTTCAAAATGGTTTTCCAAGAACATAAAAATCTCCAAAATGGTTGTTATGAGGAAATGAAAAATCTCCAAAATGTGGTTTATAAGAATATAAAAACCTCCAAATTGTTTTTATAAGGACATGAAAAATCTCCCAAAAGTGGTTGAGGACATAAAAATCTCAAATACCTGGTTTACAATGACAGAAAACCTTCCATTATTGGGTTTAAAAAACTAAAATAAATATCTTAAACAGGTTCAAAAAGGTTTTATAAGAACATAAAAATCTCATATACCTGGTTTACAGGGACATACAGATCTCAAATACCAGGACATAAAACTTTCCATTGTTAGGTTTAAAAACATTAAAAAAAATCTCAAAAATGGGTTTCTAAGAACATAAAAATCTCAGATACCTGGTTTACAAGGACATTAAACTTTCCACTGTTGGGAAATTAAAAAGCTAAAATAAATCCCCAAAATGGGTTTTATAAGAACATAAAAACCTCCAAATTGTGTTTATGAGGGCATGAAAAATCTCCAAGAGATTTGAGGATATATATATCTCATATACCTGGTTTACAGGGACATAAAACTATCAAATACCTGGTTTACAAGGACATGAAACTTTCCATTGCTGAGTTAAAAAAACAAATCTCCAAAATGCATTTTATGAGGACATAAAAATATCCAAATTGTGTTTATGAGGACATAAAAGTCTCCAAAATGTGGTTTATGAGGACATATAAGTCTTCACAACTTAACAACACTGGTGGCCTTAATGTAAATTACATCACATGATATACCAGACCTAATGTGCCGCAAGCCTTAATATTGTTTTATGTGATGAACACTTACTCAGTCACGTGGGAAATTAACAATTACTACTCATCATCGTCTCTAAGTATGATCCACAAAATGCTCGCCAAAAGGGAAAAAGTACAACCTCATACTGAGTGTGTGTGTGTGTGTGTGTGTGTGTGTGTGTGTGTGTGTGTGTGTGTGTGTGCGTGTCCATTCCCAGTAACATTTCACTAAATAAGGATATTTTTTCCGATCTTGTCGTGTGATAAAAGAAAGAGAAAGAGTACAGCAGTGCATCTCGGAGGTGGTTGGGTGATTGGACTGGTGCAACAGCTGGCGCGTGTGTGTGTGTGTGCGGATCAAAGCTATCAGATGTCTGCTCTGTGTGTGTAGTGTTCTCTTGGCAGTGGAGCCCTAATTAGCCCTGCTAGAAGGGACGGAGAGGAAACATGCCAGCCACACATTTCAATTATCCTCAGATGATGACAGTAACCTGTGCATGCATTTGTGTGTGTTTGTTTATTTCACAGCACCACAATCAAAGTGTTGAAAAACTGCACAGGGAATAATGCTAATTAAAAAGCGCTCGAAACTCCTCAAGGGCAAGGATAACCACAACTTCCATCCTTTCATACCATCCCTCTCTTGCACAGCCACGGTATCGAGCCTCGCAGCACGGCGTGATATTCTTTATCACCTAAACACAAAGAAGATGCTCTTGTTGGTAACACATTTGCAGGCATCAAAATCAGGAAGTTAAGAGATCAAGACAGGGTTTTTTTTTTTTTTGCTTTTTTTTAAAGGTCTGAGCCAATTAAATCTAAGATGATTTGACAATCATCTCCTTTTGAAGTTGGCAAAGTTTTTGGATGACTGCTACCTCGAGCTCGAGCACAGATGGCAGCGCTCACTTCACAGATAAGCAGAAAACGCTGTAACAAAGGAAACTCAATCGGTCCCTGCGGAGCGGTGCTTCAGCTCGTCCCCAACATCGCTCTCTAGTTGCTGACGTACACAACTTCGCCGCAGCGTTGCTCGGCATCCAACAGCTGGCTTGTTTGAGGGTAGTTAAAAGACAGTTGTCAGAAACTCAACCCCCCGGGCCAACCGTTGCTATAGAAACAGGACATATGTATAGTGCCCCCCCCCCCTTCCCCACGCCACCCCCTCAATCCCTCGTCACACTGTGATCTTCTACTGCCAGCACCGATCCAGTGCTGGTGGTAAAAATAGAACAGTATCAGAGCATCCATATTTCATAGAGAACAGCCATGGACTACAGTAGATTGCATCTACAACTGAATCCTCCCGAGGCTGTCTGGTTTTTTAGATATTTAGATATTTAGATTTGTATCTCACAATGAAAAATTTAGACGGAGACAAGTCTGCAGATGAGTTCTGCCACTTCCCCCAAGAGTGTATTCATAAACCTGAGCAGCCAAAATGTGGAGGGAGAGAAGGGGGGGGGGGGGCAATCATCCTCTCGTCTCCAGGTTGAGATTGTGGCTGAAAGAAAGTACAATAGAGGCGCACGAATGATTGCAGCGGGATCGGAGGGAGCGCTGTGCAAAATTGATCTGACGGTCAGTTCTTGCTTGGAGGTGCTGCTCTCTGTGCGCAGTCACACATAATGGCATCACGCTGTACACTGAACTGTGAGCCACACAAGCAGAAGATACCTTATGAATGTTTAATATTGAGATGTGGAAAGAAGGGCATGCTGCGAGAATTTGCCTCCTGCCTTGCAGAGTGGATGTTTTGTTATTTAGTGGGGGCAGGTTTCTTCACTGTGTGATAATCCACTCATAGTTATTTGTGTCTACAGCAACACTGGACAATTCTGTGTTGGTAAATCACAGTAAGTGATATTTTCATACTGTAAATGCCATTTTTTTCCACATATAAATGCATTTGATGGCGGTTTTCTTGAGATCCATGACTCATGTGCTTCACTGTACCAAAACATACACATTCAACATCTTAAAAACAGCAATTAAGCCACAAAATTCATTAAAAACGCTCCACTTAACGCCAGCCTCTCTGAGGAGAAGCTGTCTCATTCACTGTTTCAGCTATGTTTTATTTTTCTGAGGCATTTCAGAAAGACTGGAAACTTGTGTGTGATGCATCACGCTCCAGAAAATCTCAATAATGCAGCACGATATCACAGAGAGGACTGAAATAATGAGTCTAATGTAAGACAAGAACAACGGAGCTCCTGCTGTACTGTATATGTCATGCCGCTGTATTAAAGTGGACAGACTGGAGCTGACAGCGGCATTGATGAGACTGAGGAAGAAACTGGGGAGATCTAGTTTTGGCGTTTCTGCTTTCTAAATTTGACATTGTATGAATGTACAGATATACTGCATTAGTGTATCTCTGTCTATGCAAAAAGAGACATTTCTGAACTAAAATTTTGCCCAAACACGGCCTGTGCTTTGAGCCTGAAAAGTGGTTTTCATGTGTGACATTTTGTTAAAGTTATATCCAGTAGTAATAGGCATTTAAGCGCTGCTGTGAACACAAACCTACCACACTGAACCAGGCAGCACATTCTGGGTTACAGGAGAGTTAGAAATATTGCTCAGCTAATCATCTGTAAAGTCCTATTTTCTGAACTGCGATGGCTCTATTCATAATTCATTTACTCACCTGCCTCTGTGGATTGTGGCTTTAAAGAGCATATTTAACGTCTCATGTATCATGTATCTGCTACACTGGATGAAAGATAAAATGCCTCCACTCACATCCAATCATCATCATGGCCACTGCAAAGATTTTCTCCCCGTCTGTCGTGGGGGCGATGTTGCCGAAGCCGATGCTCGTCAGGCTGGTCATGGTGAAGTACAGCGAAGTGATGTAGACCGAGTCTTTGTTTGGGCCGCCTTCCCACTTCCCTGAGCCGCTGGCGTTGAAGCGGTATGGCGTGCCCACCGTCTCTGCCAGGATGTACAGCCAGCTGTCCATGCGCACGAGGTTGGTTTCCTCGTCGATAACCTCGTAATCACCGATGCTGAACCTGAAGCATGGAGACAGAAATGGTCAGGAAATAAATAATCAGAGATCCCATTTCACACTTAGAGACTATTAGATTGTTTTTCTGTTTAACGAGTGAATTTACTGAACAGTTGTCGTGAGGAACTGAAAATATGTGGCACGTTTTATACCTTTAAATAAAAATCTACAGCAGCTCTTTGAGGCTTCACTGAGGCACGGCTTTGCTTCGAGCTAAATGCTAAACAATGTTAACATGCTGATGTTTTGTTGATAGCTGTTACCATGGTCACATCGTAGTTTAGCATGTTAGCAGCTGAGGATGATGACATAAACTAAGGTGTTAGACGGATTAATTTTTGACTTGATGATGGCGCGAACAATGTCATGACAATTCTTACCAAGGAACACGAAACAATAATCCATCCAATAACTTCTGATGCATTTCTCCCAAAACCACACACGTAAACCTCATCGTGACACAAGAGCATCACCAAACTCAGTGGGATTCATCCTCTAGGGACCATGAATGTTGGTACAATATTTGGTGCCAATCCACAGCAACTCTTGAGATATTTCACAGGATAAGTATGAGGGTTGAACCCTGAAAATTGAAGACTCAAATCATCAGTTTCAGACCCCTCAGTCGACTGAGACTCTCCGAGTAGAGCAGTTGTTTGTCCTTTTGTTTTGGTCACTCAGTATGCAGTGTGCTACTCCATTTTGGTCCCCAGACTTTGCTGCACAGTGATTGCTCCTCACTTTCATGCTGCTCTCCAGCACCAGAAGCTGCAGACCCATATAGATAACCATCTTCTGCGTTAGACATGGTAAATTTACAGCTTACAAAAATTCAATATGACACATTCTCTGGCTTTTGTTTGATACCTAGTGTCGGCAAGAAGATGAACATGAACATGAACATTTCGGATCTGTCACTACTGTAGTTAGCCCACATTAGCTCGTAGGGCTAACTTTGCTTGTTCACTATATTGCGTGAACGTCACATCATCACATCCCGCAGAAGCCTGTTGAAACTCTAAAACTCTACATGGAAAGAAAGGAACAAATAGTCACAGATAATATTTGTACATTATTATTTGTATTGGACGGCATAATATTACATAATTCTGAGTCAGCTGCTGGTGGCACTGGAGGAAAGGTCAATCTGTTACTTCTTTTCTTTTATTCTAAATTGTGTAATTATTTATGGTATTTTTCTTTCAATTTAAAAACTTTTCAACTTCAAAATTTTTTATTTATTTTTTTTTTTTTTATTAATGTGAACATTCAAAGAGACACTCACCTCTGTTTGTGCAAAACATCTGTCCATCATTTTTCACTTGTGACATCAAATCAGAGGATGCATATCTGCGTGATTTTTTTTTTTCCAATCCGTCTTTTGCCTGGCCCCGCCCTACTGTGTTGTGATTGGCTTGCACTAACCATAACCATGACCTCTATGCCCTAACATGAACTGCATCCACCCTCAACTTATCGCCGTGACAAGTAGTAGCCAATGACACAGCAACGTAGGGCTACAAATCAAAACAACAAAATAAAACTATTTTTCCTTTTTCAGACTGTTTCAACCAAATCAATTTTAACCCTTTGGAACCTGAGCAGATTGGCTTGATTTCTTTTAAAACATGGGAAGAAGGAAATGATCCAACAAATTAGCAGAAAATTAAATTAAGAGAAAAAACTGAAAATAAGAAAATTTGTAAAAAAAAAAAAAAAAAAA